CGCTACAAGCTGCATCGTCTGTCAAGGGAGAAGGGATTACCCTGCCTCTCTTGGGGAGACTCGTGCCCGTGTTGTGTGAACAACTCTGCACGAGCACCTAAGGAGGCTTACCTCCTTACCAGCCCGTGGTGGCGCGTACGTATCTCTATTGAGATGTACGAAGGGATTGGCAACTTGAAATCCCTTTACGGCCGTGCCGGGAAGACTTTCTCCGGCGGTCCTTCTGCGGCACAGGATGTGCCGCGTCGTACTGCTCAACCAGACCCAGTACGTCGATCATCAGTTGGGAGCGGGGCTCCCAAGAATCCCAGGACGGGGGAAAGCCGCGCCACCGGACGAGATAACTCGTTCGACGTCCGTTCACGTCGCGGTGGTTCAACAGCTGCTCAACTAGATAGCGCTGGCCACCGCGAGAGTCCTCTAATGGAGGTGGAGGAGGAGGAAAGACGCTCTCCACACGATCATGTGGATCGGTGTGTTCCCGAGAGCTTCTTTGATCGCGTAACGCAAGGGTTACGCGACGATCTAGAACATGAGCGGAATAGGCGTCTCCAAATGGCGGGCACTGCCTCGAAGCATCGAGCTGAGTTTGCCTTTGCTCAGCTTGAGAACGAGAGATCTCTGACATCTCTTCGTGACGAGCTAAGGGTAGCTCGTGGGATTGTTGATCGGTCTCGGGATGAGATAGCTGCTCTTCAGACCCTTGTTGATGCCCACCATCGGGAGCACAAGGCTCTCTGCGAGATGCTTGAGCGCAAGGGCGTTCTTCATCGGAAGAAGCAGCGTACTGATATTACGGCTTAAGCCGACCAACGTAAAACGTGGGATGCGTTCGCATCTTACGTGGTAACTCGATCGTGTATGCATTGCCTAGGCGGTGCAATACACGAAATGGGCCGATGTACTTGGGTAGTAGTTTACTGCTACCCAAGTTAGTCACTACATGCTTTGGTAGATTAACCGTAGACAGTAGGACTAAGTCACCTTTATTAAAAAAAAGAGTGTTTGCCCTTCCATTCTTGTCAGCGTTTTGCTTTTGCTTATCCACCGCTTCGGCGATGGAGTCTTGCACAAAACGGACTACCGTTTCACGAGCCAGTATGAACTCATCTGGTGACTCGTTAGATTCAGTGTGCTGTGAGCGCACTGCAGCAACATCAACCTTTTATTCAGTGAGGGCTTCCGCACTCTCACTGGCATCATCTACTTCGATATCGATGTTATCGATATCGGCATCAAACGCAATGACTTCTTCGTCAGAGCGTGATGAGCGTGAACCAATTCGGTTTTTTCTCGCGCGAGTCCCTCCCCCCCTTAAACCAGAGTTACACTCTAGTAAGGTGGGTACACGCGGATGGCGCAAGCCATTCACGTAAAACGGTGTATGTGTCGTGGACGCATGCACCGAGTTGTTGATGGCAAACTCTACCATTGGCAAAAACTCACTCCAACTCTTAAAGGAGTGTACGTATCCTCGAAGTATTTCTTCAAGGACACGATTGGCACGTTCCGTCTGACCATCTGACTCTGGATGATCAGATGTCGACATCTTCAAGCGCGTTACGAGTGATTTGAACACGGAACGCCAGAAATCAGCAGTGAATCGTGGATCTCTGTCTGATACGAGTTCACGGGGCAACCCATGAAGTCGGAAGATGGTGTCAATAAAGACACAAGCACAGCCACTTGCCGTGATTGTCTCTCTGGTACAGCCACAAGGTGTACCATTTTGCTGAATCTGTCAACAAATACGAGAATACCCGTATTCCCGCGTGCGTCTTTGGGTAACCCGAAGACGAAATCCATTGAGATGGATTCCCAACACTCAGCCGGAACCGGTAGAGGCTGTAAATGTGCACGCAGTGAAGGACTTGAATTCACTCGTTGGCAGACTGCGCATGCGCGAACATACTTTCGCACAAACTGATACTGGCGGGGCCAGTAAAAGTCTCGACTTACCGTGAGATACGTTTTCTCTCGGCCACGATGTCCTCCTATAGGAGCATCGTGATACTCGAACATGATCCGCAAACGCAGATCAGTATCATCTGGAATGACAACACGTGGTGTGTCACCAGAAACGGCTGTATAATATAGTAAACCGTTACGAGTAGTGTATCGATCTGATGCAGATCGATACGCAGGCGACAATCGTTTCAACGATTCTCGGGATGGTTGGGAGAGATGTGTCAGCAACTTCACAATCTCACCATCTTGGGCGTATGCCCGCCTCACATCATCATACAACGTTGTAGATGGGACTGAGGACGTCATAACCGCAACATTGACTGTCTCACTGTTGGGTTTCGCGACTGTTTCAAAGTCGGGACGACGTGAGAGTGCATCAGCGACGACATTAAGTCGTCCTGGTTTGTACTCGACCGTAAAGTTGTATTCCGCAAAGAATGACAACCACCGCGCCATTCGTTGTGAAAGGTGCGGGCTGTTCACTGCCGTGCGTAATGACGCATGGTCAGTGTAAACAATGAAGGGTCTATCTCCTAATAGATAGACTCTGAACTTCTCGAGTGCATACTTCATGGCAAGGAGTTCCTTGTCATGCGCTGGATAGTTCCGCTCAGCTGGTTGCAGCTGACGCGATTGATAGCAGACGACGCGTTCAACGCCTTCAAGATCGTACTGCATTAATGCACAGCCGATTGCGAAATCGCTGGCATCACAGACCACATGAACTGGCCTGTCGTGATCGGCTATTGCTAGGACTGGGGATTGTATCAAGCTCTGCTTGATACCCTCAAAGGAGCGCTGACATTCAGCGTTCCATAACCACCTCTCGTTCTTTTTCAACAAACGAGAAAGGTGCACAGTCATCTCGGCGTAATTGCGTGAATACTTATGCAAATACGCCGCTAGCCCAAGGAACTTTCGAAGACCTTTGACATCAACCGGCACAGGCCAGTCGGTGATCGCCTTGATCTTTTCGGGATCAGGACGTACACCGTTCTTACCAACGATGCACCCAAGAAGCGGTATTTCGCTTGCTGAAAATATACCCTTCTTAAGGTTTGCATACAATTGATGCTTTCGCATGATTGTAAGAACCTGTCGGACGTGGTACCTGTGAACCTCAACGTCCGACTTTCCATCCATAGTTCGACTATGGATGAATACGTCATCGAAATAACTCGGCGCGAATTCTCGTACTGGTCTCAACAGATGTGATACACATCTGTTGAACGCGGCAGGGGCATTACTAAGCCCTTGTGGCATTACTAGCCATTCCCAGAGCATGCCGCTAGGCGTGCTAACTGCGGTATAGGGTATATCCCGTTCCCGCATAAGGATTTGATAGAAGCCATCCATCAAATTCATGGACGAAAAGATGGTACTCTTTGACATACCATCAATGATTACGTCCTTCCTCGGTATCGGCGTCTGAGCCAGTACCGTTGCAGCGTTCAATTTGTTGAGCGCGTGCACTATCCGCCACCCTCCTGTTGCTTTTCGCACACAGAAGGTCGGAGAGCTATGTGGGGAAGTTGATTCCCTCACATGGCCCGCATCTAAACGATCGGCAAAGAACTTGTCGATCGCAAGTACTTGTTCACGAGGCAGTGGCCACTGCTTCATGACACAGTACTTCGAGCCTGGTTTAAGCTCGACCTCGTGTCGAATACCTTTATCCTTCGGTAATTCGCACGGAACAGTTTCAGGGAATACATCCTTGAATTCAACCAAATCTTCATAAAGAGGATTTGTCTTGAGCGATTCCCACGATTGGGAGTCATATCGCTCAATTCGTGTCTTTTCATCTAGGACACTTTCGTCCATAGATGAACTACTGAGAACTCTCTCGTTCTCAGTGAACACTGTTGCTGACCTTATGTCGATTACACACTCGTCGTCAGCGACGAGTATGCAGATCTGCTTGACTTTGCCACTACGCAGATCACGCAAGAACCTTTTATGTTCGAGCGTTGGCAACTGAGTGATCTCCGAAGTTAACTTCGGAGGCGCAATCAGATCAAGTGTATAAGCGCCTACACTTGATCCGTTATTGACTATGACATTCAATGTCTCTGTCATTTCCTGGGGACTTATTCCCTCAGGCTTCGAAGGACTTATTCCTTCGGCTTCCCGGGGACTTATTCCCGCGGGTTTCGGGGAACTTATTTCCGCCGTATTTGTAATCTTGGGACTTATTCCCTTTACTTCCTCTAGCTGGGGTTGCGCAACCACAGCGAGATCCTCTACGAAAGACTCTCCAGTCGATCTAGGATTATCGTTTCGCTTAACCTGAGCGATCGATTGTTTCTCTTCTAGATGTTCCCCGCTAGGGATACATCTTTGTCCCAGTCCACCCGACTTATTCGAGTGTTGGACCTTCGGCGCAGCCTGTGTTTCCTCACAGCCGCCGGAACTTTGCTCCGAAGTGTAACCGTTTGGTACACTAAGGTTTTGTGCAGTCGTACTAACGACCGTACCACAAGTGAGGCCATCGCACTCACTCATAGTACATCCACACGCTTGTGGACGCTCCAAAACGTTCATCAGATGGCCATCTGATGAACAAGCGGCAGGCATCGTTACTGTTCGATGTTGCCAGTTTACCCGTGGTTCGTACCTTCTGAGCCACGGTATTCCAAGGATGACATCAAATTTGTCATCCAAATCCAATACGATAAAGTCATCGTCATATTGGGTATCTTCTAGCGTATAGTGGATCTTCACTATACGCTTCATGACGGTTACGGATGCGCCTGTCGCAAGACGTACCGTCATCCTCGTAGGAGGTGTGTCACATTCACTGAATTTGAAGTGACCATCTTCTAGCGATTGGCGTCGCACAAAATTGTTGGACGCCCCACAATCGACTAGAGCTCGAAGGGACAACTTATTCGTCACTTCGAGTTTCAAGGTAATGAGTGAGACCTCATTACCTAGAGCAGCAACGCACAACGTTTGTGTGTTGGGAGCAACCTTCATCAAGAGGCCTACAAATTCTCTTGACGTTGCTAGACCAGTAGGGTGCTCCGCACCTACTGATCCTGTCCGTTTTTTGACGGTCCATCCCGTTGTTGCGTCTTTGCACCAACTGCGGACCCTCGTCCCTGCCCTTTTCTCATGGGTGGACGGTCACTACGCCCAGTGTCGCGAGACACTGGACGAGGGGCACTACACTCGTAAGCGTAGTGTCCTGTCTTTTGACATCTGTTGCATCTCTGCAACTTCTTGTATCCTGTAGAGCGAGCCTTCTCGCTCTCTACATAACAGAGTTCCATCGGCTCTGGACCTCCGTTGTCATATCGTCTCGGTTGACGATATGATGTCGAGCTGGCGCGAGCCTGTCTCAGACTGAAGTCTTCCTGCTCCGCAATGGAAATGGCTTGTTCTAGTGAATCTAGTTCAAGCCGGAACAGGTGAGTCTTGACGGGACCATCCGCAAGACCCTGCATGAACACCGAAACCAACGTGTGTTCATCCACCGGATTGGAACTTATACAACTCGTGAGATGTCGTATATGTTGAGCGTAAGCGTGCACATCACGCTTACCCTGCTTGAGCTTCAAGAGTTCGGTTCGAGCTCTGAACTCAGCTCTAGGCGGTTCAAACGTTTGTCTGAGCCGCGACTTGAAGACTTCCAACGACCCAAACGCATATGGGTCGTGCAACTTGAGCCCCAGTGCCCAAGTCTTGGCACGTCCTGCCAGATTTGACTGGGCAAATGCAACTTGCATATCCCCGTCGTCGATGCGACGCGCCCTTATGGCGTCATCCAATTCGACGAACCATCTCAAGAGGGAGTCTTCTTCGACCCCCTATACTTGGAGATGTCAATCTTCAAAGTCTCGGGTCGACGCGAGTGCATCGACCCGCCAGCAGCAGCCTGCTGCTGTCTCAACAGTTCAAACTGTTGAGCACCCTGTTCTCTCAACAACTCTGCTTGTTGAGAACCTTGTTGGTGAAGCAAGGCTACTTTCTCGCGTTCAGCGTCAAGTTCATTTTGAATGAACTTGGCGATAGTAGCATGTTGGGCATCTCTATTGAGAGCCTCTAGCATGACGCTAACAGCATGGATGCCCATGGTCGAACCCATCCGTTCAACCGCTTCCCATTCGACATCGCTCAAATGGGAGTAGCCGTCACGCGTAGCGTGAAAGCTTTGGTCATCTTCATCATCCAACATATTCATGTTGGATGTGAACGCGGTCCTTGGACGGACTACGAAGTGCTACCAGGTGTAACGGGGCACCCTGAAGCTTGTACTGGTGACAGTACAAGCTACTTATTCTGATGACAGAATAAGGCGGTGCCTCGTAACTTCACGTACACTCGTACGTGCAGAGGAAGACGGTAAGAAGAAGCGAGTACTTGGTTAAGTAAAAAGTAGAACTGTATTTATAATAGTTAATGTCTGCAATAAATCACTATTTATCTTCATCTAACTATGTCTAAATACAAATGTGTAAATCAGTTATCTGCTCACCACACATTGCGTGCGTCTGTCGTGGCGCGTCTTCGTTGGTTGATATAATGGCCTATATCAACCAATTAGGAACTACTCGTAAGTGCTACAGAATATTTGTCCTTATGACAATATTCTGAGAATATAACTCTTATAGCTATATTCTATTAACAATTTCTTATAAATTGTTATGTAACGATTCACCCCGTTACAGATGTGATGCCGTGGTCGTGATTCTGTCGTCGCGTAGAATACATATGTATTGAACTCGAGTGACTTATCGCTCCATGCGGGACGTGAGTCGTGATATTATGCTGCTACTGTAACGGGGTGGCCCGTTACATGATATTGACACCAAACGGTGTCAATAGGGATATTGTCTAGCATGACTATATCCTAATAATATTGTCTGAGATGGATAATATTGAAGGAATATTATTTCCTTTTATGATACTATTCATGCGCTGCTCCAAGATTGGTTGATGTAAGACTTATCAACCGTAGATTGCCACCAATTGCTGCTAGACGCGCGCAATGAGTGGTGAGCAGGTTGTCGTCATACGACGACGTAGTTGAACATAGTTATATAAAGATTAAAGTTATGTTGATAGCTTATCTATATTGAATACAGTTCTCTTTTTAACCTAAACTCAGCTTAGTTGTTGAGTAGATTAGCTTCCTCTGCACGTACGAGTGTACGTGAAGTTTCGTGGCACCCCAAACAAAGGATTCCCCGTTACACCTGGTAGCACTTTGTAGTCCGTCTAACGACAACTTAGTGTTTGTATCAAGTAAACATATTGGTTGTAGAATACGACAGCTTTCACGTCACACGTGAAGGCTACTACCATTTGAGTGACTCAGAATGGGAAATAGTCGGCCGCATGAGTGTGCTGAAGGGCGAACCCCCCATCAGTGTCATGTTGGAGTCTCTAAGCATAGACCAGCAACATGCTGATATCAACAAGTACCTACAAGGGGAACTTGCCGTCGAAAGACAGAAGATAGCCTTGCTACAACACCAAGGCTCTCATCAGTCGATGGGCGGCCGACGCACATGCGTCGACCCGAAACCTTGAAGATAGATATCTCAAGGTACAAGGCAGCCGATGGAGATTCCGTTTTGAGATGGTCCGTCGAGTTGGACGATGCCATCGGGGCCCGTCACATCGAGGGTGAAGAGACGCAAGTCACCTTCGCCCTGTCAGATTTGACAGGACGAGCAAAGACTTGGGCCTCTGGTGTAACGGGGTGAATCGTTACATAACAATTTATAAGAAATTGTTAATAGAATATAACTATAAGAGTTATATTCTCAGAATATTGTCATAAGGACAAATATTCTGTAGCACTTACGAGTAGTTCCTAGTTGGTTGATATAGGCCAGTATATCAACCAACGAAGACGCGCCACGACAGACGCACGCAATGAGTGGTGGGCAGATAACTGATTTACACATTTGTATTTAGAAATAGTTAGATGAAGATAAATAGTGATTTATTGCAGACATTAACTATTATAAATACAGTTCTACTTTTTACTCTAACCAAGTACTCGCTTCTTCTTACCGTCTTCCTCTGCAAGTACGAGTGTACGTGAAGTTACGAGGCACCGCCTTATTCTGTCATCAGAATAAGTAGCTTGTACTGTCACCAGTACAAGCTTCAGGGTGCCCCGTTACACCTGGTAGCACTTCGTAGTCCGTCCAAGGACCACGTTCACATCTAACATGAATATGTTGGATGATGAAGATGACCAAAGCTTTCACGCTACGCGTGACGGCTACTCCCATTTGAGCGATGTCGAATGGGAAGCGGTTGAACGGATGGGTTCGACCATGGGCATCCATGCTGTTAGCGTCATGCTAGAGGCTCTCAATAGAGATGCCCAACATGCCACTATCGCCAAGTTCATTCAAAATGAACTTGACGCAGAACGCGAGAAAGTAGCCTTGCTTCACCAACAAGGTTCTCAACAAGCAGAGTTGTTGAGAGAACAGGGTGCTCAACAGCTTGAACTGTTGATACAGCAGCAGGCTGCTGCTGGCGGGTCGATGCACTCGCGTCGACCCGAAACCTTGAAGATTGACATCTCCAAGTATAGGGGAGTTGAAGAAGACTCCCTCTTGAGACGGTTTGTCGAATTGGATGACGCCATAAGGGCGCGTCGCATCGACGACGGGGATATGCAAGTTGAATTTGCCCAGTCAAATCTGGCAGGACGTGCCAAGACTTGGGCACTGGGGCTCAAGTTGCACGACCCATATGCGTTTGGGTCGTTGGAAGTCTTCAAGTCGCGGCTCAGACAAACGTTTGAACCGCCTAGAGCTGAGTTCAGAGCTCGAACCGAACTCTTGAAGCTCAAGCAGGGTAAGCGTGATGTGCACGCTTACGCTCAACATATACGACATCTCACGAGTTGTATAAGTTCCAATCCGGTGGATGAACACACGTTGGTTTCGGTGTTCATGCAGGGTCTTGCGGATGGTCCCGTCAAGACTCACCTGTTCCGGCTTGAACTAGATTCACTAGAACAAGCCATTTCCATTGCGGAGCAGGAAGACTTCAGTCTGAGACAGGCTCGCGCCAGCTCGACATCATATCGTCAACCGAGACGATATGACAACGGAGGTCCAGAGCCGATGGAACTCTGTTATGTAGAGAGCGAGAAGGCTCGCTCTACAGGATACAAGAAGTTGCAGAGATGCAACAGATGTCAAAAGACAGGACACTACGCTTACGAGTGTAGTGCCCCTCGTCCAGTGTCTCGCGACACTGGGCGTAGTGACCGTCCACCCATGAGAAAAGGGCAGGGACGAGGGTCCGCAGTTGGTGCAAAGACGCAACAACGGGATGGACCGTCAAAAAACGGACAGGATCAGTAGGTGCGGAGCACCCTACTGGTCTAGCAACGTCAAGAGAATTTGTAGGCCTCTTGATGAAGGTTGCTCCCAACACACAAACGTTGTGCGTTGCTGCTCTAGGTAATGAGGTCTCACTCATTACCTTGAAACTCGAAGTGACGAATAAGTTGTCCCTTCGAGCTCTAGTCGATTGTGGGGCGTCCAACAATTTTGTGCGACGCCAATCGCTAGAAGATGGTCACTTCAAATTCAGTGAATGTGACACACCTCCTACGAGGATGACGGTACGTCTTGCGACAGGCGCATCCGTAATCGTCATGAAGCGTATAGTGAAGATCCACTATACGCTAGAAGATACCCAATATGACGATGACTTTATCGTATTGGATTTGGATGACAAATTTGATGTCATCCTTGGAATACCGTGGCTCAGAAGGTACGAACCACGGGTAAACTGGCAACATCGAACAGTAACGATGCCTGCCGCTTGTTCATCAGATGGCCATCTGATGAACGTTTTGGAGCGTCCACAAGCGTGTGGATGTACTATGAGTGAGTGCGATGGCCTCACTTGTGGTACGGTCGTTAGTACGACTGCACAAAACCTTAGTGTACCAAACGGTTACACTTCGGAGCAAAGTTCCGGCGGCTGTGAGGAAACACAGGCTGCGCCGAAGGTCCACCACTCGAATAAGTCGGGTGGACTGGGACAAAGATGTATCCCTAGCGGGGAACATCTAGAAGAGAAACAATCGATCGCTCAGGTTAAGCGAAACGATAATCCTAGATCGACTGGAGAGTCTTTCGTAGAGGATCTCGCTGTGGTTGCGCAACCCCAGCTAGAGGAAGTAAAGGGAATAAGTCCCAAGATTACAAATACGGCGGAAATAAGTTCCCGAAACCCGCGGGAATAAGTCCCCGGGAAGCCGAAGGAATAAGTCCTTCGAAGCCTGAGGGAATAAGTCCCCAGGAAATGACAGAGACATTGAATGTCATAGTCAATAACGGATCAAGTGTAGGCGCTTATACACTTGATCTGATTGCGCCTCCGAAGTTAACTTCGGAGATCACTCAGTTGCCAACGCTCGAACATAAAAGGTTCTTGCGTGATCTGCGTAGTGGCAAAGTCAAGCAGATCTGCATACTCGTCGCTGACGACGAGTGTGTAATCGACATAAGGTCAGCAACAGTGTTCACTGAGAACGAGAGAGTTCTCAGTAGTTCATCTATGGACGAAAGTGTCCTAGATGAAAAGACACGAATTGAGCGATATGACTCCCAATCGTGGGAATCGCTCAAGACAAATCCTCTTTATGAAGATTTGGTTGAATTCAAGGATGTATTCCCTGAAACTGTTCCGTGCGAATTACCGAAGGATAAAGGTATTCGACACGAGGTCGAGCTTAAACCAGGCTCGAAGTACTGTGTCATGAAGCAGTGGCCACTGCCTCGTGAACAAGTACTTGCGATCGACAAGTTCTTTGCCGATCGTTTAGATGCGGGCCATGTGAGGGAATCAACTTCCCCACATAGCTCTCCGACCTTCTGTGTGCGAAAAGCAACAGGAGGGTGGCGGATAGTGCACGCGCTCAACAAATTGAACGCTGCAACGGTACTGGCTCAGACGCCGATACCGAGGAAGGACGTAATCATTGATGGTATGTCAAAGAGTACCATCTTTTCGTCCATGGATTTGATGGATGGCTATCTATCAAATCCTTATGCGGGAACGGGATATACCCTATACCGCAGTTAGCACGCCTAGCGGCATGCTCTGGGAATGGCTAGTAATGCCACAAGGGCTTAGTAATGCCCCTGCCACGTTCAACAGATGTGTATCACATCTGTTGAGACCAGTACGAGAATTCGCGCCGAGTTATTTCGATGACGTATTCATCCATAGTCGAGCTATGGATGGAAAGTCGGACGTTGAGGTTCACAGGTACCACGTCCGACAAGTTCTTACAATCATGCGAAAGCATCAATTGTATGCTAACCTCAAGAAGTGTATATTTTCAGCAAGCGAAATACCACTTCTTGGGTGCATCGTTGGTAAGAACGGTGTACGTCCTGATCCCGAAAAGATCAAGGCGATCACCGACTGGCCTGTGCCGGTTGATGTCAAAGGTCTTCGAAAGTTCCTTGGGCTAGCGGCTTATTTGCATAAGTATTCACGCAATTACGCCGAGATGACTGTGCACCTTTCTCGTTTGTTGAAAAAGAACGAGAGGTGGTTATGGAACGCTGAATGTCAACGCTCCTTTGAGGGTATCAAGCAAAGCTTGATACAATCCCCAGTCCTAGCAATAGCCGATCAGGACAGGCCATTTCATGTGGTCTGTGATGCCAGCGATTTCGCAATCGGCTGTGCATTAATGCAGTACGATCTTGAAGGCGTTGAACGCGTCGTCTGCTATCAGTCGCGTCAGCTGCAACCAGCTGAGCGGAACTATCCAGTGCATGACAAGGAACTCCTTGCTATGAAGTATGCACTCGCGAAGTTCAGAGTCTATCTATTAGGAGATAGACCCTTCATTGTTTACACTGACCATGCGTCATTACGCACGGCAGTGAACAGCCCGCACCTTTCACAACGAATGGCGCGGTGGTTGTCATTCTTTGCGGAATACAACTTTACGGTCGAGTACAAACCAGGACGACTTAATGTCGTCGCTGATGCACTCTCACGTCGTCCCGACTTTGAAACAGTCGCGAAACCCAACAGTGAGACAGTCAATGTTGCGGTTATGACGTCCTCAGTCCCATCTACAACGTTGTATGATGATGTGAGGCGGGCATACGCCCAAGATGGTGAGATTGTGAAGTTGCTGACACATCTCTCCCAACCATCCCGAGAATCGTTGAAACGATTGTCGCCTGCGTATCGATCTGCATCAGATCGATACACTACTCGTAACGGTTTACTATATTATACAGCCGTTTCTGGTGACACACCACGTGTTGTCATTCCAGATGATACTGATCTGCGTTTGCGGATCATGTTCGAGCATCACGCTGCTCCCATAGGAGGACATCGTGGCCGAGAGAAAACATATCTCACGGTAAGTCGAGACTTTTACTGGCCCCGCCAGTATCAGTTTGTGCGAAAGTATGTTCGCGCATGTGAAGTCTGTCAACGAGTGAAGTCAAGTCCTTCACTGCGTGCACCTTTACAGCCCATACCGGTTCCGGGTGAGTGTTGGGAATCCATCTCAATGGATTTCGTCTTCGGGTTACCCAAAGACGCACGCGGGAATACGGGTATTCTCGTATTTGTTGACAGATTCAGCAAAATGGTACACCTTGTGGCTGTACCAGAGAGACAATCACGGCAAGTGTCTGTGCTTGTGTCTTTATTGACACCATCTTCCGACTTCATGGGTTGCCCCGTGAACTCGTATCAGACAGAGATCCACGATTCACTGCTGATTTCTGGCGTTCCGTGTTCAAATCACTCGGAACGCGCTTGAAGATGTCAACATCTGATCATCCAGAGTCAGATGGTCAGACGGAACGTGCCAATCGTGTCCTTGAAGAAATACTTCGAGGATACGTACACTCCTTTAAGAGTTGGAGTGAGTTTTTGCCAATGGTAGAGTTTGCCATCAACAACTCGGTGCATGCGTCCACGACACATACACCGTTTTACGTGAATGGCTTGCGTCATCCGCGTGTACCCACCTTACTAGAGTGTAACTCTGGTTTAAGGGGGGGAGGGACTCGCGCGAGAAAAAACCGAATTGGTTCACGCTCATCACGCTCTGACGAAGAAGTCATTGCGTTTGATGCCGATATCGATAACATCGATATCGAAGTAGATGATGCCAGTGAGAGTGCGGAAGCCCTCACTGAATAAAAGGTTGATGTTGCTGCAGTGCGCTCACAGCACACTGAATCTAACGAGTCACCAGATGAGTTCATACTGGCTCGTGAAACGGTAGTCCGTTTTGTGCAAGACTCCATCGCCGAAGCGGTGGATAAGCAAAAGCAAAACGCTGACAAGAATGGAAGGGCAAACACTCTTTTTTTTTAATAAAGGTGACTTGGTCCTATTGTCTACGGTTAATCTACCAAAGCATGTAGTGACTAACTTGGGTAGCAGTAAACTACTACCCAAGTACATCGGCCCATTTCGTGTATTGCACCGCCTAGGCAATGCATACACGATCGAGTTACCACGTAAGATGCGAACGCATCCCACGTTTTACGTTGGTCGGCTTAAGCCGTAATATCAGTACGCTGCTTCTTCCGATGAAGAACGCCCTTGCGCTCAAGCATCTCGCAGAGAGCCTTGTGCTCCCGATGGTGGGCATCAACAAGGGTCTGAAGAGCAGCTATCTCATCCCGAGACCGATCAACAATCCCACGAGCTACCCTTAGCTCGTCACGAAGAGATGTCAGAGATCTCTCGTTCTCAAGCTGAGCAAAGGCAAACTCAGCTCGATGCTTCGAGGCAGTGCCCGCCATTTGGAGACGCCTATTCCGCTCATGTTCTAGATCGTCGCGTAACCCTTGCGTTACGCGATCAAAGAAGCTCTCGGGAACACACCGATCCACATGATCGTGTGGAGAGCGTCTTTCCTCCTCCTCCACCTCCATTAGAGGACTCTTGCGGTGGCCAGCGCTATCTAGTTGAGCAGCTGTTGAACCACCGCGACGTGAACGGACGTCGAACGAGTTATCTCGTCCGGTGGCGCGGCTATCCCCCGTCCTGGGATTCTTGGGAGCCCCGCGCCCAACTGATGATCGACGTACTGGGTCTGGTTGAGCAGTACGACGCGGCACATCCTGTGCCGCAGAAGGACCGCCGGAGAAAGTCTTCCCGGCACGGTCGTAAAGGGATTTCAGATTGTCAATCCCTTCGTACATCTCAGTAGAGATACGTACGCGCCACCACGGGCTGGTAAGGAGGTAAGCCTCCTTAGGTGCTCGTGCAGAGTTGTTCACACAACACGGGGACGAGTCTCCCCAAGAGAGGCAGGGTAATCCCTTCTCCCTTGACAGACGATGCAGCTTGTAGCGTGCACCTGTCGGGGTTCGCTTTTCAAACTTATCACGAGCTTTGATAAGTTTGTCGTTCCAAACGTCACGACCTACATTTTAAGGTTATGGATGTAGGCGTTCCACGCCTGAAGCAGTGAGGGACCATCACGCTTGTGATTCCCACTGTACCATCGATGTCTAAAGAAAGCATCGATGAAGAATTCATTCTCAGCGCGATAGTTTTTCGCGCTGGGGTCAAGGTGATGGAGCCTTGACGAATCGAACAATCGTGTTCGATAGCGATCACTCGTCGTCGCCGACAAGTGATCCATGACAGAATTTGGGAGGCATCCATGCCTTCTTCTCAGGAGCGAGACGCAACACATTGCGGTCACGCTCTTCCTGCGATGTGCCGACAGAAGTACTGGCACCTCGATGTGAAGTGGTGTCCATAGGAGAACCGACACCACTATTAGCGCCCGAGTCTCGCGACCTCGAGCGCCTTCGCTTCGGCGATGGTTCATCTGATTCATCAGATGAACCAAAGATGCTGCGACGCAAAGCATCATCCATGCCACGCTTGGCAGGCGGCTTTTATTCAATCGCCGTCGATACGGATCCGTCTTCCGTATCAGGAGAGTACGAGACACCGAGCTCGTACTCTGTGAAGACATGAGTGTCTTCATGACCAGCGTCTGCATCACCAAGTGACACAGGCTGGGTCGCTTCAGCAACCGATGAGGCATCAGTTGCTGAGGTTTCTGCTTCGGCGTCCGCACAGAGACGTGCGGACGCGCTCTCGGCGGCCTTGCTCGCGCATCGCATGGGCTTGTTTACCATGCGATGAGATGTTGGAAAGTGGACGCGGACCAACAAGTGCAAACCCTGTCCCAAATGATTTGGGACGAGTATCCATTTAGTCAATCAGTCACTAAAGTGACTAATGGTTAAGGGGGGTGATGTAACGGGGTGAATCGTTACATAACAATTTATAAGAAATTGTTAATAGAATATAACTGTAAGAGTTATATTCTCAGAATACTGTCATAAGGACAAATATTCTGTAGCACTTACGAGTAGTTCCTAATTGGTTGATATAGGCCATTATATCAACCAACGAAGACGCGCCACGACAGACGCACGCAATGAGTGGTGAGCAGATAACTGATTTACACATTTGTATTTAGACATAGTTAGATGAAGATAAATAGTGATTTATTGCAGACATTAACTATTATAAATACAGTTCTACTTTTTACTTTAACCAAGTACTCGCTTCTTCTTACCGTCTTCCTCTGCACGTACGAGTGTACGTGAAGTTACGAGGCACCGCCTTATTCTGTCATCAGAATAAGTAGCTTGTACTGTCACCAGTACAAGCTTCAGGGTGCCCCGTTACAACATCCTAACCTCGACAGTGCTTCTCCCGCCGCGAAAATGCTTTTCACGCAGCGCTAAACTCTATCGTTATCGGTTTATCATGAAGCACGACAATTACCCTCACGCAGGCAAAATGTTTTTGTGTCTGGGTGATGAATGGAATCACAGAGCTCGACTCAAAAGCACTTTTCTGAATGATTGTGTTTTGGAGTGTACAATAGATGAGAGGATGTCTATAAAAGGAGAATGTATTAATCTGACCAAGGATCAGGGGGTCCGGCTATATACTTTAGTTGTAAAATCATAGCTGACAAGGTGCGTTATTACCGATATCACTCTTAACGGTTTTACATCCCATTGTACTTCGCAATATAACAGCAACTAAAATGGATGTATTGTGACCGCGTTATCCAAATAATCTGAGCCAAATGATGGAGATACTGGCGAACAAGCAGCGGAGCAAGACTGGCTGCACTACGATCAATTGCACGTGAAACAGGAGTTACACTTGCTCAACGCGTGTTTTCTAGTAAAACCTATCGACTTTTAATCCTAACACTATTTAGTGATCGTATAGATGTTGCCATGTGGTCACGGCCTATTCAGTATTGTACGTTCGTGGCGATAATTCGAGTACATTAACATTGAGCATGTCTAATTTTGGTCTAACGAACAAATGATCAAGTTGACACTGTGTGTAACGGGCACCCTGAAGCTTGTACTGGTGACAGTACAAGCTACTTATTCTGATGACAGAATAAGGCGGTGCCTCGTAACTTCACGTACACTCGTACGTGCAGAGGAAGACGGTAAGAAGAAGCGAGTACTTGGTTAAAGTAAAAAGTAGAACTGTATTTATAATAGTTAATGTCTGCAATAAATCACTATTTATCTTCATCTAACTATGTCTAAATACAAATGTGTAAATCAGTTATCTGCTCACCACTCATTGCGTGCGTCTGTCGTGGCGCGTCTTCGTTGGTTGATATAATGGCCTATATCAACCAATTAGGAACTACTCGTAAGTGCTACAGAATATTTGTCCTTATGACAGTATTCTGAGAATATAACTCTTACAGTTATATTCTATTAACAATTTCTTATAAATTGTTATGTAACGATTCACCCCGTTACATCACCCCCCCCCTTAACCATTAGTCACTTTAGTGACTGATTGACTAAATGGATACTCGTCCCAAATCATTTGGGACAGGGTTTGCACTTGTTGGTCCGCGTCCACTTTCCAACATCTCATCGCATGGTAAACAAGCCCATGCGATGCGCGAGCAAGGCCGCCGAGAGCGCGTCCGCACGTCTCTGTGCGGACGCCGAAGCAGAAACCTCAGCAACTGATGCCTCATCGGTTGCTGAAGCGACCCAGCCTGTGTCACTTGGTGATGCAGACGCTGGTCATGAAGACACTCATGTCTTCACAGAGTACGAGCTCGGTGTCTCGTACTCTCCTGATACGGAAGACGGATCCGTATCGACGGCGATTGAATAAAAGCCGCCTGCCAAGCGTGGCATGGATGATGCTTTGCGTCGCAGCATCTTTGGTTCATCTGATGAATCAGATGAACCATCGCCGAAGCGAAGGCGCTCGAGGTCGCGAGACTCGGGCGCTAATAGTGGTGTCGGTTCTCCTATGGACACCACTTCACATCGAGGTGCCAGTACTTCTGTCGGCACATCGCAGGAAGAGCGTGACCGCAATGTGTTGCGTCTCGCTCCTGAGAAGAAGGCATGGATGCCTCCCAAATCTGTCATGGATCACTTGTCGGCGACGACGAGTGATCGCTATCGAACACGATTGTTCGATTCGTCAAGGCTCCATCACCTTGACCCCAGCGCGAAAAACTATCGCGCTGAGAATGAATTCTTCATCGATGCTTTCTTTAGACATCGATGGTACAGTGGGAATCACAAGCGTGATGGTCCCTCACTGCTTCAGGCGTGGAACGCCTACATCCATAACCTTGAGGATGTAGGTCGTGACGCTTGGAATGACAAACTTATTAAAGCTCGTGATAAGTTCGAAAAGCGAACCCCGACAGGTGCACGCTACAAGCTGCATCGTCTGTCAAGGGAGAAGGGATTACCCTGCCTCTCTTGGGGAGACTCGTCCCCGTGTTGTGTGAACAACTCTGCACGAGCACCTAAGGAGGCTTACCTCCTTACCAGCCCGTGGTGGCGCGTACGTATCTCTATTGAGATGTACGAAGGGATTGACAATCTGAAATCCCTTTACGACCGTGCCGGGAAGACTTTCTCCGGCGGTCCTTCTGCGGCACAGGATGTGCCGCGTCGTACTGCTCAACCAGACCCAGTACGTCGATCATCAGTTGGGAGCGGGGCTCCCAAGAATCCCAGGACGGGGGATAGCCGCGCCACCGGACGAGATAACTCGTCCGATGTCCGTTCACGTCGCGGTGGTTCAACAGCTGCTCAACTAGATAGCGCTGGCCACCTCGAGAGTCCTCTAATGGAGGTGGAGGAGGAGGAAAGACGCTCTCCACACGATCATGTGGAGCGGTGTGTTCCCGAGAGCTTCTTTGATCGCGTAACGCAAGGGTTACGCGACGATCTCGAACATGAGCGGAATAGGCGTCTCCAAATGGCGGACACTGCCTCGAAGCATCGAGCTGAGTTTGCCTTTGCTCGGCTTGAGAACGAGAGATCTCTGACATCTCTTCGTGACGAGCTAAGGGTAGCTCGTGGGATTGTTGATCGGTCTCGGGATGAGATAGCTGCTCTTCAGACCCTTGTTGATGCCCACCATCGGGAGCACAAGGCTCTCTGCGAGATGCTTGAGCGCAAGGGCGTTCTTCATCGGAAGAAGCAGCGTACTGATATTACGGCTTAAGCCGACCAACGTAAAACGTGGGATGCGTTCGCATCTTACGTGGTAACTCGATCGTGTATGCATTGCCTAGGCGGTGCAATACACGAAATGGGCCGATGTACTTGGGTAGTAGTTTACTGCTACCCAAGTTAGTCACTACATGCTTTGGTAGATTAACCGTAGACAGTAGGACTAAGTCACCTTTATTAAAAAAAAGAGTGTTTGCCCTTCCATTCTTGTCAGCGTTTTGCTTTTGCTTATCCACCGCTTCGGCGATGGAGTCTTGCACAAAACGGACTACCGTTTCACGAGCCAGTATGAACTCATCTGGTGACTCGTTAGATTCAGTGTGCTGTGAGCGCACTGCAGCAACATCAACCTTTTATTCAGTGAGGGCTTCCGCACTCTCACTGGCATCATCTACTTCGATATCGATGTTATCGATATCGGCATCAAACGCAATGACTTCTTCGTCAGAGCGTGATGAGCGTGAACCAATTCGGTTTTTTCTCGCGCGAGTCCCTCCCCCCCTTAAACCAGAGTTACACTCTAGTAAGGTGGGTACACGCGGATGGCGCAAGCCATTCACGTAAAACGGTGTATGTGTCGTGGACGCATGCACCGAGTTGTTGATGGCAAACTCTACCATTGGCAAAAACTCACTCCAACTCTTAAAGGAGTGTACGTATCCTCGAAGTATTTCTTCAAGGACACGATTGGCACGTTCCGTCTGACCATCTGACTCTGGATGATCAGATGTTGACATCTTCAAGCGCTTTCCGAGTGATTTGAACACGGAACGCCAGAAATCAGCAGTGAATCGTGGATCTCTGTCTGATACGAGTTCACGGGGCAACCCATGAAGTCGGAAGATGGTGTCAATAAAGACACAAGCACAGACACTTGCCGTGATTGTCTCTGGTACAGCCACAAGGTGTACCATTTTGCTGAATCTGTCAACAAATACGAGAATACCCGTATTACTGCGTGCGTCTTTGGGTAACCCGAAGACAAAATCCATTGAGATGGATTCCCAACACTCACCCGGAACCGGTAGAGGCTGTAAAGGTGCACGCAGTGAAGGACTTGACTTCACTCGTTGGCAGACTGCGCATGCGCGAACATACTTTCGCACAAACTGATACTGGCGGGGCCAGTAAAAGTCTCGACTTACCGTGAGATACGTTTTCTCTCGGCCACGATGTCCTCCTATAGGAGCATCGTAATACTCGAACATGATCCGCAAACGCAGATCAGTATCATCTGGAATGACAACACGTGGTGTGTCACCAGAAACGGCTGTATAATATAGTAAACCGTTACGAGTAGTGTATCGATCTGATGCAGATCGATACGCAGGCGACAATCGTTTCAACGATTCTCGGGATGGTTGGGAGAGATGTGTCAGCAACTTCACAATCTCACCATCTTGGGCGTATGCCCGCCTCACATCATCATACAACGTTGTAGATGGGACTGAGGACGTCATAACCGCAACATTGACTGTCTCACTGTTGGGTTTCGCGACTGTTTCAAAGTCGGGACGACGTGAGAGTGCATCAGCGACGACATTAAGTCGTCCTGGTTTGTACTCGACCGTAAAGTTGTATTCCGCAAAGAATGACAACCACCGCGCCATTCGTTGTGAAAGGTGCGGGCTGTTCACTGCCGTGCGTAATGACGCATGGTCAGTGTAAACAATGAAGGGTCTATCTCCTAATAGATAGACTCTGAACTTCGCGAGTGCATACTTCATAGCAAGGAGTTCCTTGTCATGCACTGGATAGTTCCGCTCAGCTGGTTGCAGCTGACGCGACTGATAGCAGACGACGCGTTCAACGCCTTCAAGATCGTACTGCATTAATGCACAGCCGATTGCGAAATCGCTGGCATCACAGACCACATGAAATGGCCTGTCCTGATCGGCTATTGCTAGGACTGGGGATTGTATCAAGCTTTGCTTGATACCCTCAAAGGAGCGTTGACATTCAGCGTTCCATAACCACCTCTCGTTCTTTTTCAACAAACGAGAAAGGTGCACAGTCATCTCGGCGTAATTGCGTGAATACTTATGCAAATAAGCCGCTAGCCCAAGGAATTTTCGAAGACCTTTGACATCAACCGGCACAGGCCAGTCGGTGATCGCCTTGATCTTTTCGGGATCAGGACGTACACCGTTCTTACCAACGATGCACCCAAGAAGTGGTATTTCGCTTGCTGCAAATATACACTTCTTGAGGTTAGCATACAATTGATGCTTTCGCATGATTGTAAGAACTTGTCGGACGTGGTACCTGTGAACCTCAACGTCCGACTTTCCATCCATAGCTCGACTATGGATGAATACGTCATCGAAATAACTCGGCGCGAATTTACGTTCTGGTCTCAACAGATGTAATACACATCTGTTGAACGTGGCAGGGGCATTACTAAGCCCTTGTGGCATTACTAGCCATTCCCAGAGCATGCCGCTAGGCGTGCTAACTGCGGTATAGGGTATATCCCGTTCCCGCATAAGGATTTGATAGAAGCCATCCATCAAATCCATGGACGAAAAGATGGTACTCTTTGACATACCATCAATGATTACGTCCTTCCTCGGTATCGGCGTCTGAGCCAGTACCGTTGCAGCGTTCAATTTGTTGAGCGCGTGCACTATCCGCCACCCCTCCTGTTGCTTTTCGCACACAGAAGGTCGGAGAGCTATGTGTGGGAAGTTGATTCCCTCACATGGCCCGCAGCTAAACGATCGGCAAAGAACTTGTCGATCGCAAGTACTTGTTCACGAGGCAGTGGCCACTGCTTCATGACACAGTACTTCGAGCCTGGTTTAAGCTCGACCTCGTGTCGAATACCTTTATCCTTCGGTAATTCGCACGGAACAGTTTCAGGGAATACATCCTTGAATTCAACCAAATCTTCATAAAGAGGATTTGTCTTGAGCGATTCCCACGATGGGGAGTCATATCGCTCAATTCGTGTCTTTTCATCTAGGACACTTTCGTCCATAGATGAACTACTGAGAACTCTCTCGTTCTCAGTGAACACTGTTGCTGACCTTATGTCGATTACACACTCGTCGTCAGCGACGAGTATGCAGATCTGCTTGACTTTGCCACTACGCAGATCACGCAAGAACCTTTTATGTTCGAGCGTTGGCAACTGAGTGATCTCCGAAGTTAACTTCGGAGGCGCAATCAGATCAAGTGTATAAGCGCCTACACTTGATCCGTTATTGACTATGACATTCAATGTCTCTGTCATTTCCTGGGGACTTATTCCCTCAGGCTTCGAAGGACTTATTACATCGGCTTCCCGGGGACTTATTCCCGCGGGTTTCGGGGAACTTATTTCCGCCGTATTTGTAATCTTGGGACTTATTCCCTTTACTTCCTCTAGCTGGGGTTGCGCAACCACAGCGAGATCCTCTACGAAAGACTCTCCAGTCGATCTAGGATTATCGTTTCGCTTAACCTGAGCGATCGATTGTTTCTCTTCTAGATGTTCCCCGCTAGGGATACATCTTTGTCCCAGTCCACCCGACTTATTCGAGTGGTGGACCTTCGGCGCAGCCTGTGTTTCCTCACAGCCGCCGGAACTTTGCTCCGAAGTGTAACCGTTTGGTACACTAAGGTTTTGTGCAGTCGTACTAACGACCGTACCACAAGTGAGGCCATCGCACTCACTCATAGTACATCCACACGCTTGTGGACGCTCCAAAACGTTCATCAGATGACCATCTGATGAACAAGCGGCAGGCATCGTTACTGTTCGATGTTGCCAGTTTACCCGTGGTTCGTACCTTCTGAGCCACGGTATTCCAAGGATGACATCAAATTTGTCATCCAAATCCAATACGATAAAGTCATCGTCATATTGGGTATCTTCTAGCGTATAGTGGATCTTCACTATACGCTTCATGACGATTACGGATGTGCCTGTCGCAAGACGTACCGTCATCCTCGTAGGAGGTGTGTCACATTCACTGAACTTAAAGTGACCATCTTCTAGCGATTGGCGTCGCACAAAATTGTTGGACGCCCCACAATCGACTAGAGCTCGAAGGGACAACTCATTCGTCACTTCGAGTTTCAAGGTAATGAGTGAGACCTCATTACCCAGAGCAGCAATGCACAACGTTTGTGTGTTGGGAGCAACCTTCATCAAGAGGCCTACAAATTCTCTTGACGTTGCTGGATCAGTAGGGTGCTCCGCACCTACTGATCCTGTCCGTTTTTTGACGGTCCATCCCGTTGTTGCGTCTTTGCACCAACAGCGGACCCTCGTCCCTGCCCCTTTCTCATGGGTGGACGGTCACTACGCCCAGTGTCGCGAGACACTGGACGAGGGGCACTACACTCGTAAGCGTAGTGTCCTGTCTTTTGACATCTGTTGCATCTCTGCAACTTCTTGTAGTCTGTAGAGCGAGCCTTCTCGCTCTCTACATAACATAGTTCCATCGGCTCTGGACCTCCGTTGTCATATCGTCTCGGTTGACGATATGATGTCGAGCTGGCGCGAGCCTGTCTCAGACTGAAGTCTTCCTGCTCCGCAATGGAAAAGGATTGTTCTAGTGAATCTAGTTCAAGCCGGAACAGGTGAGTCTTGACGTGACCATCCGCAAGACCCTGCATGAACACCGAAACCAACGTGTGTTCATCCACCGGATTGGAACTTATACAACTCGTGAGATGTCGTATATGTTGAGCGTAAGCGTGCACATCACGCTTACCCTGCTTGAGCTTCAAGAGTTCGGTTCGAGCTCTGAACTCAGCTCTAGGCGGTTCAAACGTTTGTCTGAGCCGCGACTTGAAGACTTCCAACGACCCAAACGCATATGGGTCGTGCAACTTGAGCCCCAGTGCCCAAGTCTTGGCACGTCCTGCCAGATTTGACTGGGCAAATGCATTTTTGCATATCCCCGTCGTCGATGCGACGCGCCCTTATGGCGTCATCCAATTCGACGAACCATCTCAAGAGGGAGTCTTCTTCGACCCCCCTATACTTGGAGATGTCAATCTTCAAGGTTTCGGGTCGACGCGAGTGCATCGACCCACCAGCAGCAGCCTGCTGCTGTCTCAACAGTTCAAACTGTTGAGCACCCTGTTCTCTCAACAACTCTGCTTGTTGAGAACCTTGTTGGTGAAGCAAGGCTACTTTCTCGCGTTCAGCGTCAAGTTCATTTTGAATGAACTTGGCGATAGTAGCATGTTGGGCATCTCTATTGAGAGCCTCTAGCATGACGCTAACAGCATGGATGCCCATGGTCGAACCCATTCGTTCAACCGCATCCCATTCGACGTCGCTCAAATGGGAGTAGCCGTCACGCGTAGCGTGAAAGCTTTGGTCATCTTCATCATCCAACATATTCATGTTGGATGTGAACGCGGTCCTTGGACGGACTACGAAGTGCTACCAGGTGTAACGGGGCACCCTGAAGCTTGTACTGGTGACAGTACAAGCTACTTATTCTGATGACAGAATAAGGCGGTGCCTCGTAACTTCACGTACACTCGTACGTGCAGAGGAAGACGGTAAGAAGAAGCGAGTACTTGGTTAAAGTAAAAAGTAGAACTGTATTTATCATAGTTAATGTCTGCAATAAATCACTATTTATCTTCATCTAACTATGTCTAAATGCAAATGTGTAAATCAGTTATCTGCTCACCACACATTGCGTGCGTCTGTCGTGGCGCGTCTTCGTTGGTTGATATACTGGCCTATATCAACCAATTAGGAACTACTCGTAAGTGCTACAGAATATTTGTCCTTATGACAATATTCTGAGAATATAACTCTTATAGTTATATTCTATTAACAATTTCTTATAAATTGTTATGTAACGATTCACCCCGTTACACTGTGCTTCGTTTCGTACGTTGAGATAGAGAAGCAAGCTCTGGAGCTCGCCTTTGTTTAAAGTTATTTAGTTCGTAGGACTGAGTTATATGTTACACTGTACGACAGCAGTCACTGAAATATGTGCATGAAGCTTGTAACGTCTGCATTAAACCAGTACAGTAGGCTAGGGCAACGCGATCGGCCTTTGCTGATGCGTGTCTAACATCTGCTTATGTGATCGTTTTCACCTTTGATCGATTTTAAGCCAATCATGTGCGTGCATCACAATATTGACCCAGCCAAAAAGTGACTTTGAATGTCCCCCTTTCAAAGGTATGAGGGGGGGGACAGGCTCGATCGTACTTAGAACGTGCGAGGTACACCTAGCCGCGTCGTTTACAGACACACAGACACAGATAGCCAGACAGGCAGACAGATAAGTACGATTTTGAAAGCTCGGCATTCGATATTGCGCACACTCACTACTACTAGCTTCACCCTTCGGGCTCGCAATAAAGCCTGACTCAGATGGTCCATTTCGCATGCTGAAGCTGTGCACGTCAGTGACGAACCTGTTTGCTCAGTGAAAATGCGCGTATTGTGGAACGAGGAGTTTGTATTGTTGCGCCACTTTTTCAGTATGGCGTCATGTTAGCTCTCAGTTTTGAGGCCAGCTCATACGTGTCCATGGTCAGAGATCTCAGCAATACTGTGGCGAAGAACAGGGTGGACAAAGGTGTGACATTGCATTCCTAAACACAGCAAGTTGTAGCTGAGCATGTCAGGAGGTCTTTATCACTACAAACACTTTCAAGCAATGACGATAAATCGACCGGACAAATGACATTACGAAAACTGACCACCGCTTTTACGCCTACATGACGTCAGACTGCCGCTGCCTCATCACTGTCTCGCTCTAGCTAGCGGTCGATAGTCAATCTTACACGTTATCTGGACGACTGATCCGTGCTGCACAATCCCATAGATACCAGAGCATGTTTCAATATGTGAGGACAACTCCACACAATATCTGCGTGACTGTATACTTCGAAAGACGTCGACATCGGAAGTGTACGGACAATTACTTCCCTGACGCGTTTGGCGCTCGAACCGCTTCATGCGCGTCTTACAGCACCACGAACAAGGTCTATTTGGGCATTCCTCTCTTTACACTCCGTACAGTTTTCACCAGATCGTCCGTATCGAAGTTTTTGTGGGTAGGCAGTTGGTTCGAGCCCGCTCGAAAGAGACTATGCGGTCGAACGTACCGACGACCAGTCCAGGGCGGCATGTTCGCCAGCTTGTCTTTATGCAATTTCTTAGGAGTGAGTGGTGTCCGTGGATGAGTCCTGCTACTAACAGTGGCGGAACGCAATGCTACAACAGGACGCCAAGCACGTTCGAAGGCGGTTCAGCACTCACTTTACCAGGCACATGTGCTAACATAAAATAGACCGACAAACAGCAGTCGTGCAGCGAACAGCTAAAGAACGGCATGCGACAGCACCTTCAGTACCAATGGACGGTTGCAAATTGTCCTCAAGTGTGAGAGACTGAGCAGATGAAAGCATCTGGGACGTTTGTGTTAGCAACGATGCTCCGCATGGTAATTTCTAACATGTAACGTCGGGATGACTGCATGCACATTACTGGCTTGGCTCCGTTCGCGACAACGTGATACAGCGTCGCTTCCAGTAGTAAGAACCGACTTCCACATCACGTTGCGAAATGATCTTGGTTCCCGCCACACACGGCCGCGCTCAGCTTGGATTTCTGGACACCAGCACGGGATGGTGCACCCTTTACGCTCCAACGTCGTCACGAGCGACGCCATCTGCTATCGAACGAGCTGGTGTGTGTGGGTGATCTATCGACCGTTTATAAAGCGTGCAGTGGGTACAGAACAGTGTCGACCTCGACCTCTGTTGTTGTAGTTTGTATACAAGACGTCTTTTTCGCTAGATGAATGGCACAGTGCTTTGGAAGGATACATCGGCTTACGAGTAATGTAGCGCAAATGGATGCGTCAAGTTAAGCTACATCGGCACTGTCAATCCTACTCGGTTTGGGTCCCACTCATCTCCATAACAACCTCGCGTAACAGACACAGAAGTGTGTCGACAGTAGCTCAGGGTGATGTGCAAACTTAACCACGGCGTCTGGTGTTCTTGGCGCGCTTTCAATTAGCTTTCACTAACCTACGCTACACGACAAGTATCTTCTCCCCAGTAGCTCATATTCCGTATTACTCCAGAACGTTTGTGATGAGCGCTTGTCGCTCATTGAATGCGCTCTCAGCACTTCTGTTTGCCGACGATCTCTACCGGAGTATTGCACGCAGGACACCATTGCAAGAGCCACATCGACAGCCTGCGAACAATGTAAGCACGAGCGCAACAAAGACGTGGCAACAGCTTGCTCTCGCTTACAGACACATACCATCGATGACGAATGTAACCGGTGTCTCTCTATACTAATTACAACCACGTGCTCCATATGGTGATGACGCGGCCGCGAGATGATGTTTCTCGTTGGTAAAACCGCAGCGATTACGGCGTTGAAGCCTAAAGGCGAGCTTTGCAAACATGTCTCACGTGCTGTGGCCATGCAAAAACCATTGGGCAACACCTTCGTCCATTTGCTGCTGCCTGTATCAGAAGACCCGCACATCCACTTCACACTTGGGGCATTTCATTGCCTCCCAGCGACCATCCCGTGTTGCGTATGGGTCCATTCAAAGTCGCCACATCAGAACAGACCTAGAGTGTGGCACGATTGCACCCCGTGACTTCCACTTCGTCCCCGCTTGACTTCCCTTTCTTCCTACTTCCCGCCGCTCGCAAGTGAGTATATTTCAATCGACTATGAACTTTCGCGAGAAAAAGAGCGTGTCGTCCTGATGATTCGCCTCAGTCTAAAACGCTGCGACCCTGTCCCCTCCTTCATCCTGTCTGATCCAGTCAGAGTTGTAAAAACACCGACAAAAACCGACAACGCAGCCACGCAGCTGTTGTTGCTGCTGCTGCTGGTGTCTGTCAACTTCATCTGCAAAGTTGCCACTCGTCGTAACTTTTATTACCAACTCGTCGCTTGCGCTACTTAACCGAGTCCACCCGCTTACCGACATATTGTGCAAAAAAGACCGTCCAGCCAGTCAGTCAGTCAGTCGTCAGTCAGTCTCCGAATTCACTGCGAAAGCTCACACCGTGAAGGGCACGAGTGAAAGAACTCCGAGAGCAGAAGCCAAGCGCGTGACCACGCTCCCTCCTCCCCCCTAATCCCTTCGAAATCGTCATGTCGCGACTCGTCGAGTCCGTCGTGTCTTTCGCGTCATCCCGGGCGCCCCCTCCCCCCGTGCCAGTGGTGACAAGTCCCCAAGTAGTTCCCGATTCCGTGTCCCCACCTACCGAAAAGAAGAAGAAGAAACCCCATCGAGGTCTCATTCGGGCTGTTGGCGTCTTTTTCAAGCGGAAATGCAGTGAAGGGGACGCCACCGTGAGGCCTCCCGTGGTCAGCGACGCGTCCCCGAATCGCATGGTGCAGTGGATCCATGGCTCGCAACGTCAGTCCATGCCGGACATGCCACTGGAGGCGGTGGAGCCTTTGCTGTATCAGGAGCGAGAGACGCTGACGTCCGTGTGCCCCCTGATGGAAGAAACGCCTGTTCCAGTAAACAACAAGCGAGTCAAGCAGGAGACGAAGGCGGACAAGGGCGAGCGAAGAAAAGTCGAGGCGAAAGCAAACGCCTCGTTCGTCAAGGCGAAACCGTCACCTACAGACAGTCCGGAACTGCTGCGAGCTGAATCGTCCAGTGGCAACGAGTCCAACGTGGACCCGTTGCGCGTGTCGTTCCTGATCTTTGGAGGCAGTGAAGTGGACAGCACGTTCGAGCCCGAGTTGCACCCGTCGGAATTCGACGACGTGCATGGGAGCGAGATCCGGCCAGTGCTGCAGAACAAGATGCCGCTGTTTTTCTCACTGCCACTGGCGGAGCGTTTGCGTCGCAGCAGCGCCAAGTCGGACCCGAAAGAGTACGAGTTGTAGATGGGATTGGTTGAGCAAGCGAGCGAGCGAAGGGGGAACGTGGGGAAGAAGAAGAAGGAGGAGGCAGAGGTCGACGATGATTTAATATTGTTTGTTGGTTGTAGCAGTCGCGTCGTTACGAGTGGATGAAGTTGAATCGCTTACAATGAGAGAGGGGGAAGGAGGGATTGACCTCATCTCCGAAATGGTGGTGGCTAGATACTTTATGGTGTCAATAGATTGCAGTGTAATATACGACAGTGCGTTTTGAACTATGCTGTCAGCGATGCTTCTCGAGTCCGAGAAGGAGCATGTGGACGGATATATCCCGTGTGGTACTTGTAAACCCACTTCATGGCGGGCGATTGGTTATCATACGACGAAGAGGTGTGTAAAGTCAACAGCCACTAGGTCATTCATGGCAACTCCATCGACTGAGCAATTGCTTCGCATGCAAAGAAGACGAGAATATCGATTGCCAGTGAACCAGCGCAGAGACGAGCTGATGCAGCGCAAAATTGAAAAGAGCTCGGAAGACGGGGCTGAGACCAAAGAAGAAAGGTCAAAAGAAAAAGAGCGGAACGCGCAGAGGGGCGACAAGAAAATCAGGAAGGGGTACATGAGGATGGAAAGTTAACGTAGAAAGCGCATCGTGCTGAAGTAAACCGCATGTGTTGACGTGGCCCCAGCTGCCCAACAAGCAGCTGCATGACCCTCTTTGAACTCGACTTCTGTTGCGACTACACGATCACCTGTCGTTCTTTACCATCTGGTGTTGTGTTTCGAGATGCAGCAACAACCTTCGGCGCTGGACATGCTCGTTCTAGAGTCATGGCTCTATAATGGAAGTGTTGTACAATCTTGCATCGAAGTAATGCACCAGCCGCGCAGGACGCAGATTAACTGTAAACTGTAAATGGTTCCCTCAATGTGTGACCATGTCGTCAGTCGCTTCTTCATCAATTTACTTGTAGCCAACAGCACGTAGAAGCTTTACAGCCGTCACATCGAGCATTAAAAGAACAGGCCAGCGGCATGCAGAGCTTGAAGACAAACAACGATATCGGAGCAGAAAAAAAAGCCATGTGCAATAACGTCTCGCCTGCAAGTCTAAGTGCACCTCTGGCAGCGAGCGACAGTGTTTCATTTTCATCCGACACCTCTGGGAGCATGCAGGACGACGAGAACGAAGTTGAAGTGACCGCGTAGTAAGGTGACGTTCCGGAGATCCGCTCTAGTCTGAGCGCTCTTGATCAGATCTTAATGAGAAGGCCACCGTTTCGTCGGTGCTGAGTCCGATGCAATGGATCTGGCCGAGTCGATGGCGTGCACGTGCCGCACGGCCATTGCATACGTTTGATAACCTTCGCAGACATACGTCCTGCTCTGCGAAGGCGCCTTGATCGCTATCGAGCAGAAATACTCCATCAGGTACGGCTAACGTTATGCAGCGGGTGATCAGCGCATGTCACGTGCTCCAGAATCGTGTTTCTCAACTAGCATAAACGAAGGAAACCTAGTCTTCTTTGCCCTAGAAAGCAAAACTGGTAGGAGACACGTAAGCTCGGACATGCGGTAATTTAAAAACGTGTCCTCTTTTGGGAAGTCAAAGCGGTGTGGAGGGCTTTCTGTCACTGGACGGGTCTCGAGATGTAGGGTCTGTTGATGAGACCTGGTATTTTGGCAGTGTGAATCGTCAGGCTCCTGCATTACCGGCAAGGCAGCGACAACGCCTACATGAACATTTACAAGACGACTTGGAAGCAGGGGTCATGGTTTGGAATGCATATGGTTTATTATGTGTAGCGTCTGTTTAACTCACTTATGGAGTGATCGAAACGACGCAGTATTTCAAGGTGTGCGGACGACGGTTATTCACAGCGTCACCCGTTTTTGGAAGGTGGGGATTCGGCATCTCAGCGCGTTAGCGAAACGCGAACATCGTGGTCCCGACACAGTCGTCGCCGGGGCTCTCTTACATGCCTGTCTTGACCTCTTCACTCTCGAACCGCGGGATGAGGTGGTCTTCGCAGGAAGCAGCTACGACAAGCTACCGGATCCGGAGCTCTTGTCCTGGCTCCAGAGTTTTCAGACATCTTGTACATAGGTAAATGTTAATAGACTGTCATGAAATCTCTCTCTCTCTCGGACATGCGGTAATTGACACGTCACTTCTTCGTATCAATCAAAAGCATGTTAACTGACAATTGGTTAGATGCAAGCGCTTTGAAACGAGCGACCTCAACAGCTTCCCAGGGACGCATGTAGTGGCATGATAATCAAGCACTGATTCAAGTCTTTTTCATCAAGGCTTACTTAAAACTAAATCTGAACATGAACCACAACAAAGTTATGTCCAAATCCCAGTCAGACTAGACATTCCAATATGACGTTGATGCTACAAGACTGACTACCAGCGATGCAGTAAGGTCGACAGGCTATTACCATCCCTCCTCAAGGCCAGCAGCAACCTTACACCACCTCGACGCTCTTATCCACCTATAACAAAGACCGTCCCGCCCCACCCCTCTCTACTCTTCCCTACCACCCGTTCCTGACCTCATACGTTCCTTCGTCATCATCGTCATTGGTGTTATAAAGTCACTCAATAGCCCCGACACGTCTTCAAACCGGCCGCAAGGGTCACACCCGGACCGATAGGACATATCTCTAGCAGCGTGCAGTAGCTGGTCAATAAACACACCGAGACGCTGCTCGCGACTGCGGACTAGCGTTTTGTATAGAAACCCCGTGACAAGAGCCAATCGGCCGCGGGTGGGACATCGAGAGGGGAACGAGACTGACCGTAGCACTTCCCGGACACGCGAACAGTAGGGACACCAATAGGGATGGGACTTGTCTTTGGGGGCTGCAACTGCCTCGCCCACATGTTCTCGCAGCTTGCGGAAGGCCGAGTAGCGGTGCTCTACGTGGTAGTCAGCACGACCATTTTCTTCTTCCTCCTCCTCCTCTTCTTCTTTCTCGTGCCCCTCGACCCGCCGACGTGGACGCCTGCTCTGTCTGTACGTGGTCCGACGTCCTTTTATCGTCGTTGTCTTGGGTAGACCCCTCGGTGTGGCCTGCAAGTACACGTCAAGTACGTATACAGTCACGTGCTTCTCGAGCTCGTAGGTTGTATTCATGCGCACGTGGTGCACGCTATTGAGCGCCACGGCTCCTTTGGCTCGAGAGAGCTGCGACAACCGTCCACCAAGACTGAGGGTATCTAGACTCGAGTGCTCGCTTGCCGTGTCCAGCATAACGAACGTCGTTCGTCCGAGCGATTCGAATCGGAAGGTAAATTACGTGGAGTTGAAGTGCTACTTGTCCAGCTTTACGTCCGTGATCGCTCTCTCTCTCTTCGGTCGCCTGATGTTTTCAGGAGGAGGTAGGAGCGACTGTGCTGTAGCGTGTGCGAAGGGAGATCGGACACGGACGCACCGCATGTTTCCATGGATAGTTCGAATCCGTTGTCAACTGCATGAAGCAGGTTGGCTGTCAAATCTATTTAAACCGGAGGAGACTGCAGCTGAACGGACACTTAGTGGGATGCGGTCGGTGTCGAGGCGACAGGCTCGTGGATGATCCGGGGCTCTGGATCATTTTTGCTTCGCTTAAGCTGTCGCACGGTCGCATCGAGCGCCCCTTTCGATGACGACCGTCCGATTCCATGGCGGCTACTGTAGCAGTTGGTCTTTCTACAGGAATGGCTCGATCTTCTGGAAGATTACGGCCAAGTGACGCATGCTACTGTCAGTAGATTGCGACGGTACGATGCTGCACCCACCAGTAGCCAGCGTTGCAAACTCAGCGATCGTAGCCTCGTTTATGCAGTAATTGTAGTAGTTTTGTATCGATGTCGAGGTACCGGCGGCTGGAATAGCAGTAAAGTTGCCGCTATGATGCGATTGCAGCAGTCTATGATATTGTAATGGGAAAGGTTCAACGCACCAGTCGCGAGTGGGTCATTGTACCGCGATTTGGTTTAGCCAATCAAAAAACGACTTCCTATTCATAATCCTACCAGATCTAATCATGACGACACCATCCTAATTTTGACCTTCGCGTTGTAGCTCCTCGCCTTCCACCATCGCCATTACAGCAAATACGATTAAAAGTTTGAAGAAGGGTGGGTGTTATTATGACGAAACCAGCCTAATTTTGAAAAACTCATCTCAAAACTAGGCTGGCATCGTCATAATTGGATTTGAAATCACAAATTATGAGGAGAAAATCGTTTTCTGATTGGTCAAAACAAATCGCCGGTACAATGACCCACTCGCGACCGGTGCGTTAAACCTTTTCCTTTTGTACTATCGATCCGGCAAGAGCTCACCATTAGATCGCTCCATCACGTGCCTAAAAGATTGCGCGACGCTGATCACGCATACGTATATCTTGTTCTGCGGGAACGTATGATGAGTCTGCATCATCGACGACTTCGGCACCACAGAAAAGTCATCAAGTTGCATCAAGTGTCGAGGGAGAAAGGAGGACGGAGGACGCGTTACTTCACAGGAACATCGACTCCACCACTTTGACAGCTTGTTCAGGTTATTCCAAGTATCCCATGCATCTATCTATCCATCTACGTCCCGATAGCATTTTCTTCCTCGCTCGTCTTTGACACCCTCATCCTTACCTGCAGTCCAACACGACGCGTGTGCGCGCTTGGCCAGCTTGCATCCGTTGAAACACGTCCGGCAGATTCACTAGTTGATCCAGTGTGAACTTGGGTCGAACCTGTTCGTCTGCAACGAGGTTCACTGCCTCGATCGCGTCCTGGCGACTAGCAACGTACGAGCCAACGATACGGAGCTCGAGCGAAATCATGAGACTCAATGGGGCCTCGATCGCAGCATCTTTAGGAACACCCACTGCAACTAGCGTCCCCCGAGGACGGAGGAACAGGAGGGCGTCCTTGTACGCCTCCGTTGACCCAGCAACCACAACAACAGCATGAGCACCTTGACCGCTCGTAGCTGCTCGAACCTGCTCGACCACGTCTTGTGTGGTGTAGTCGATAAAGTGCTTGACTCCATACGACTGGACCAGCGCACGTTTATCTTTGCCCGAGTCAATAGCTACGACCTTGTAGCCCATGGCTCGAGCATACTGACACGCCAAGTGCCCCAACCCTCCGCCTGCGCCAGGGATCACGACAGTCTCGCCTGGGGAGCCACGAATTTGCTTCAAAGCTTTGTATACAGTCAAGCCAGCACACATGATTGGAGCAGCTGAAGCCAAGTCGAGGGTCGCAGGGATAGGTGTGACATGGTCAGCAAAAGTCACGCACCATTGCTGGAACGTTCCGTGGCGCGTCAAGCCGTGCACTTCCGCAGACGCGCACGTTGTCTCGTGCCCTTTTCGACAGTCTTCGCAGCCTAAGCAAGTGTGTGCGAGCCACTTGACCCCCACGGCGTCGCCGATTCGAAGGCAGGTGCGAGTATGGTCTCCGATCGCAGCAATGTGACCAGTTCCTTCGTGGCCACCCACCATTGGGAACTGCTTGGAGAGAGGAGGTCCTTCGCCTTGCCAGACCGAAATGTCCGAGTGGCAGACGCCCGTGTATGCAATGCGGACAAGAACTTCCCCAGGCTTGAGGTCCTTAGGCTGGACGACAGGCCAGTCCTTACGCACTTGGAGCTTTTCCCAATTAGCTTCGTAGATGACGGCGGTCTGCGTCATGGGGATGGTTTCGCTGCAATGGGATGTCATGCTGTGATCAGGTATCAATGTGCGGGTGAATTGACGAATGGATTGCACCGGATGCATGAGTCCTGTTTACGAGCTAGCGAAACATGTACAGGTCCATGGTCTGAAGACTGAGCTGAATATATGTATACACGTTGACAGCTGCTACTTTCGAGGAGAAAAAAAGGTATGCGCGGTACTCATGTATCCTAGACTAACGTGGTCCACGCATACACAACACTCACTTACCGACTGTGCAAGCTACTTTTGAGCGGCAGTCTGCTCTATGCTTATACAGCATACGAGGATTTACTATCGATCCTTTCGTAAGGAATGGATATCCAGCTCCAGCACCAAATGATGCATGCTGGAAGGCCGGACATTGTGCCGCCAAACACCAGCACTGCTAACGACTCTCCAGTTCTCTCTAGTCATCGACGACGTAGAAACGATCCAGACGGTGATCGAAAGATTGAATGGCAGCGCTGAGATTAACGGGGGTGTACGATGCATAGACAGCTCGAGTGTGTAAGTGAGTGAGCGAATGCTTGAACACTCATGATATATGAGGTATACGCATGAAGTCAGCGCACTTCAACCGAAGCTCCACTGACGTCTCTATACCCTGGAATGACGAGTGTGTACGTTCGTCACTCCAGAGTCAGCATAGACTTCGTGGGAGTCTAGTCACTTCACCGCACCATTGATGGACGAGGTTGGGATCAGCCAATGTGACTGCCTGTTGAGCTTCGCTGTGTGTACAACTTCCACCGCGACAATATCACAACCAGCTCTCGCTTGGTCTAGTAGCCATGTCGCATCGTGTACGATATCATCGCGAGTCTCTGCTATCGCATACGCACTCCCATCACGTGCAGAGGCTACAGTTCATTTTTTGAAATTTTTGGCTACGCGCTCTGTCCGTCTGTAAGGAGAGAGCGTCAGTCAATCTTGATCCTCTAAACCCAAGAAATGAATCAGCATGAGCTTACTTACTACTTGCAATCATCATTGAATGCATGATGCATATCGCGCATTCGCTGTTCCGAGTAAACCTGCGACTTTAATGCTTGTAGTAGGCGCGCTGATGTGGATGGAGGACCGCAACCGCTATCAACCGTACTACTTGTTGTAGTTAATGATGGTAAGTTGCATCGAATGCACATGATGAGGTTCGGTACGAGGACGATGACGGCAATTGACGTCGATTGAGACCACGAGGAGACTGCGCTGACCTCAATACATTACAACACATGATCATGACGGGTGGCTGCTGCTGGAGTAGTAATGGATATTGATGTCCTGAGCTGGCAGCTGCAAGTCACTTCGAGCATTCTGAGGTAGGAAGCAGTAGCGGGGGACATCCGTCACCTCGTCATCAAGGGAGAAGAGAACAGGCAGAGAAGCGGACAAGGGATCGAACAGTGATGGCCCTTGACTCGCAACCTGGGATGTCACGCCTCCCTAGTTGTTCATCTCGTCTTCAGCCAGTCGATACCCACTGACTGGTTCGAATAGAGAGTGCGGCTGACAGAGAGAGAAAGAGAGAGACTGCTAGTCAGCTTGAGTGATGTGATCAACCGCGAGTCAGTCGGAGGGTTTGCCTAAGCTTGTCTAGACTTTGCATGTGATGTCCCAGCAACCACGATATCGGGCCTCAGAGCTCGAGGATTTCTCCACATGTTCTCGAGTAGCCTTTGCAATAACTCACTGTGTCATGGTCGTCGATAGATGAACACCTTACACGGCTTCGAGTCCACATGTACCGGACACTTCATTCTTTATCAGACCTTGACAAACTACACGAATGGGAGCTACAGGCGCGTTCAACAGCGATATTTCATCCGGATCAAAACGAAGAAATGCCTTCGAAGAACAGGAGGAGCCGCAAACTTGGTCTCAACATAACAAGGATCAATCCACACCTCTCTGAATCGTGAAAGATGTGACTCGACTGTTCGGCCCAGTCCACCACCTCTCTCAAAAGCTTCAGACTGTAACTTGTCATGTCAAAAGTTGACGACTGCATCGAGGACGAGGTGCCTGCAGTACGAAGTGCCAGCACGTTTGACACCTCCTCAACGTCGATCGATACTAGCAGTAGCAGTAGCCGTAAAACTCGCCAAAAGCTCATGAGGTTCGAGCCATCGAGTTGCTCACTAGCATCGGAGATTATCCTCTTGCGGGAGCTCAAACTCGTACCGGTGAAGCTGTACCCGTTGCAGCTCTCTCGAGCAATGCACGTCCGTCTCTTCTTGTCGCGCATCGAGTGGATCGCCATCCACGAGGTCCTCGAGCGTGACGAAGGGGTTGTGTACTACGTCCTGAACGTGTACCAGAAATGCCAGCAAAAGGGACTACCAGCTACTGCTGCTCGCAACCGATCGACAAGACAAGTTCGGTCGTACAAGACCTTACCGGATTCCGAGCCGGAGACTCGACGTCCGGACTACCAGATTGAACAGCGCTACTCGAGCTTTGCCAGACTGCGGTCGAACGTAGCAAGTGCAGCACGGAAATACCATCCCAAGTGTCGAGTGTGTACGTACTGCGTCAGTGTCCTGGACTTCCTGCACACTTCGCCATCGAGACCCAATCTCAAGGTCAAGTTTACAACGCAACCTGACGAGCGGAAGGCTATCCTGAGCTCGTTTATTAACCAACTGGTGCAAGTCGTACGTGACGACTACTTGTCGTGTCCTCGGACGTTAAAGCGGGGGTTTCCACGTGATTCCAGCCCTTGTCCAGCGGTTTCTAGCGGAACAAACTGGTGAGTCGTACTTCTACTCTTGATGTCTGGACGAAAGAAGAGCGTCAAGTGCCGAAGAAATGTCGTACATCGGAGAGATAAGCAGTTAATGGATCGATTCGGTGGCAAGGACTTGAGTTGAAGGAGAGAGAGATCGGTGAAGGTTGTTCACTTGCATGTATTCACTCATTTCCTTCCTCCCTTCATTTGTCTGGATGAGGTCTTTCTTCACGGACGGTACTAAGCTGTTTGTGCTGTCAAGACACGCAGGTCGCTAGTGGTGGTTGACTTCTTGTTGGATTTCATCCAGCGTCTTGCCCTTCGTCTCGGGTACAAACTTGAGGGAGAAGGCCAACGTGAGGGACAGCGTGATGGCAAAGGGGACGTAGATAAAGTTGCCCAGCGCCCTTTGCATGGTTGGAAAGACAATGCCAATGATGAACAGACCCAACCAATTGACCATCGTCGCAATGGACGTCGCTGCAGTACGTGACTTGGGTGGAAACATTTCGGCTGCAATCAACCACGGAATGGGACCGAGGCCGATCTCGAAGAACCACACGAAGCTCATGACGCCACCGACACTGAAGAAACTGGACATTGGCAGGAGGTTCGAGAGCCCGACCGTCAGAATTACTGTCGACACGAGCATGCCAACCATTGACCAGATCAGGAGCGGGCGACGACCAGCAGAGTCCATGAGCATCAAGGCAACAATCGTTGAGAGCACGTTCACAATGTACACGAGCGTGATGCCAATGAGTGGGTTTTCCAGTCCCGCATTCTGAAAGAACGAGCTCGCGTAGAACATGACTGCACTAATGCCGCTCAGCTGCTGTCCAAATTGCAAGACGACAGCGACGAGGAGAGGCAAGCGGATGCTCGGGTCACGCAGGACGTCGCCAATACTCTGGACATTGCCCGATTCGCTCGTGCTTGCCGCCGAGATGCTGTCCATCTCTTCCCCGACATTGTCCAACTGACGTAGATTTCGCAACGTCTCCTCTGCATCCTTTGGATTGCCATTGTTAAGGAGCCATCGCGGACTTTCAATCAGTAATGGAGCAAGCACGAGTTGCAAGAGTCCCAGAAGTCCCGTGAAGCCAAACATGAGACGCCATCCAGGACGTGTCAAGCTGTCACTTTCCCCTGCAAAGCCGAACGCCAGGAGATCCGTCACGAGAATACCAAGCACCATTGCAACTTGGTAGGTCGTGCCCAAAGCACCCCGAAGATTTGGAGGTGCGAGCTCACCGAGATAGAGTGGCACGAGGATGGTTGCTGCACCTGAGGCAATACCGACAAGAAAGCGGCCGAGGATCAGCATGTACATGTCGACGGCAAACGCCATAACCAGTCCAGAGACCACAAAGAGGCACGAGTTGGCCGACATCGTCATCTTGCGACCCAGCGAAGCGTTCAGCTGCCCGCCAATGACGGATCCAATAGGTCCACCGACGGCAAAACTCGACACGCAGAGGGCCCAGAGCATGTCCGAGTGTCCAGGAAAGACCACGTTGGCATTCATGGCGCCGGTTACTGCCGTATTGTAGCCGTACTGAAACGCGTTGAGCACTGCTACCACGCACGATTGGAGCAACGGGTACGTGTAACCTGGCTCGAGCCTCTCGTCTGGTTCCTCTTCAAGCAGCGGTTTGATCTCTCCATTCTGTGCACCCGACATGGCAACAAGAACCAGCACAACAATAGCATCAGAACGCGACTCGCCAAGCACTCAACCTGCTGAACTCGAGCGGCGACAGCACGCACCTTTTTGACCAGTCGCGACAGATTTGCCCAGGAGCTGCGAGTCCGGAGTTGCGGGAACTCGCGCTCGCTACGGAACGACCGCCGCCGCATCCCCGGCAGCGCTCGGAACGGAAGTTCTTGGTACAAAAGTTTCTGCTCGTCATCTGCACCAGAGCAAGCACGAACGGAAGAGAGTGGGCACTTAGTGTCAGCAGTTGGTTGGTCCCTCTCGTTGCGAGACATCGTCAGTATCGTCAGTCAGTCAGTCAGTCAGTCAGTCAGTCAGTCAGTCCATCCATCCGAGCTCCTCGGTTCGTACGCTGGTCGTTCATGTTCTGCACGGTACTCGCTCGTCCCTTGAGTCCTTCGGCCTTCTTGAGGTTTTCCCAGCTCCTGTTGCCGCCTTGTTCCAGTTCCCGGCGGAATCCGGTGGACGCCATCACGAGCTCCGATGGAAAGCGGTTCTTGAACGAAGGTGAGGATCCCGTTTGGTTGTCTGGACGGAAGCAAAAGCTCGAATGGAAAAGCTGAGAGCGCGTGACGGGCAAGTGGGCGATCAAAGAAAGACGCGGCTGGTTGGAAGTATCTTGGAAGCTGAACAGGTGCGGGTGCTGTGAGTCTTCTTGTTGGCTTGATTAAGTTGGGAGAGAGATAAGGTCTCGGATGTGCTTTGGGATTGCAATGGCTCGCTTTTGACTTTTGGAAGAGGATGAAAATGTAGATTGTATTATTCTAGACAGGTTTCGTGGGATGAGGAGCATCCTCGTGGAGATCCAGTCAGCTAGCTCCCTCTATAACGTCCCCTGATAGAACGTCCTCCCTTGATCCGATTTAATTTCCCACAGCCACTAGCAAGCAGCCTGTCACTACATCGAAGTGGTGGACTTGGACCCTGACATTTGATCACGCTCCTGCGAGCTTGCGTGCCCAAAATATCCGAAAGTTGACGCACCGGGAACACATGAAACCGCCACGTCCTTCCGCAGCGAAGCGACGCGAAGCGGTAGAGGTGCCCACGAAGTCGAAACGACGGATCGCATGCGACTCCTTTTTTCGCAGTGTTATCAGGTGATTCTCAACCGACTCTAATGAACGATAGGCCACGGTCACCAGTGAACTCCCTGCCACTTCCTCTTGTTGTCGTTACCTGGTCAGTGCTGTAAAGTAATCCGAGCATCCTTAAAACAACAAACTCAGCTTCACCTTGTCTTACCCGATCATTCATCCTCCCGCGATCGCCGTATCGTTTTTCGAGCGAGCGACGGTTTCTTGGCAATGAGCTGACGCTTGGGAGTCAGACAAGAGATACCGCACTCAACACCTCGAGTTTGTAAAGTGATCGCGCGGCTTCGATCGACGTTGCCGTCCGTCGATTAAGTCCCTTACGTAAACGCAGATCCTCTTCATAGTGTAGTTAGTTGTCCATCTACAAGAGCGGAGTAACGCCGTCCAACTACCATTCTGAGACCGAAAGCGTTGGGAACTCTACATCACCGAGTCAGGTTCTTCGAGCACTATCGGAGCTTTGGACATCCAGACATTGATCGACTGACGGCTAAATGTTCCGAACAAGCGCCCGACGAACAAGCGCAACCTCGTCAAACGAAAGCAGTATGACATCATAACCGCGTGATATCGTCTCTCCCAATGACTGCACAACAAGGTACTGACTTTATGCGATCGGAAGCTTTCTTTATAACATCAAAGACAGGAATCAGAAAAAGCATTTTTCCAAAAAAGCGTTCGTGAGGCGGGCGGTCTCTGCCGCATCACAAAAAAGACGCACTTGGATCAGAGACAAGGCCTCACAATGAAACGCAGCAATATTATTGGTAGTCAAAAAGGTGAGGAAATGAGGTTCACGACCAAGTTGAGTAGTCAAGATATGATCAATGTACACGCATTGAACGGGTTCATGTTCTAGTTCCTTCCTTTTCCTTACCACTCACACACTCGACAACCATAGCACGTTTTCCTTGTTCCTTGCCAACTGCACCGATGTCGTTACCTTTACATCATCATCAGCTATACTTCATGCTAGTAAATTAGTTCCTGACCACTCACACTTCAGTCTCGGTGGATTCCGTGTCCATCTCAGGATCCGATCCTCTACCAATGTTAAACATTGCGTGGAGCGCTCGAGAACTTGAAGTCGCAAATTGATACGATTGACTCCGGTCGAGCATGGGAGCCCGTTCACGAATACTTTCCACTCTTGCAGCAGTAGTGTGAGCACCGGAAGTTCGCGTCGGCGAGAGTCGCCGCAAACCTGGCGTGACCATGTTGACGAAATCGCTCAAACCTGGTTCCGATTCCAAGCTCGGTTGAGACAGCAAAGGCACTTGACGAGTTGTTGCCCGATGCGATCGAGTGCGGACAGTCACTCGATCCGAACGTGTACGGGAAGACTCGCGCTCCTCAACGGACCTACTACTGTGCCGTAAAAGCAGGTGCTGGCGGCGCTGACTTGGTTGATCGCTTTCATTCAAGGCCTCGTTCTGTGCGAGCATTAGCAGTCGAAGGAGCTGGCCATACTCGACTTTCGTGCCCTTGAGCTCAAAGAGCATCATCGCGACGCTATTCAAGCGAAAGCGGGTCAAGCGGTAGTCGAAACCAGCTAGAACCAGACGTAGTTTCTCCACGTCAATCATCCCAGTCTGTCGCGGATCGTATGCGTGGAGCTCTCGTCGCAAATCAATGATCGTGTAGTCTCGTTCCTTCAAACAGTCGAGCAACGACGACGCAAACTCCGACCGGAGCTCCACAATCTCGCTGAAGTGCGACACCACTTCGCCCATTGTATTCGCATCCACGCGAACGATGCTGCAGATAATGACAAAGTACCGGAACAGTTGCTGCTGGAACACAAACGTGTTGAGAAACAACGGTAGGGGCACCACCAGAGCATGCACGAGTCCAAACTCTTCGTAAATGTCATCCAGGTCGTACACAGCACACTGGACCAGCAGCGCAATGAAGAATCCATTGAGAACGAGCATGAACATGACGGCCACGTGCCAAGCTTTCCGAGAAAAGAACCGCATCGGAATATCGGGAGTTCCGAGCTGGACGCCATTGGTAGCGCGACCCACGCGAGTTTTCTTGGGATCCGCCACCTGATTCATATTGCGGATACAAGTCGCAACGAGCTGCAGCCCAATGTCTTTCCGGAGTAAAGCGTGGCGTTCAGCATTGCGACAATCTTCCATCTCTTCCAGCTCTTCTTGGACTCGATTCATAGTCCGAAGAGCACTATCTGCAGCTTCCATTTGCCATGCCGCCACTTCTTGTTCAGCGACCAAGCGGAGGTTGGCAACCAACGTCGACTCATCGTCACTATACCCTGCAGCAAGCAGAAGCTGGTGGATACACGAGCGAAAGTAGAGCAGCACGGCAACATGCAGGACCACCAAGGCCCAGGCGAAAACCACGAACACTTCCACTAGTTCGTGCTTTCCAGGAAGATCCACGTCCAGTTCCTCGAGTGCATCGAGAAAGCCACAGATCATCCAGGCCACTGCCAGCAAGAGCACCCACATGGATGGCTCGACTTCAATCATGTGCGAGATCTGGTTGGCTTGAGCTCGACGAAGGTACTTGGAGAAGGGGAAGAGCTGCGGCAGTCCAAAGCGCCGTAGAAACAAGTGACGAAGCAGGCGACGCTCGACAACTTGCAGGTCGACCCCCTTTGTCGGTTTGCTCGACCAGCAGCTGAGCCATTGGAACGACGACTGGGCTGGAGCTTGGGCTGTAGCGAGCGGGGGCGTGCCAGCTGGAGGCGTGATAGCATTGATCAGATCTTGTGCCGTGATGAGCTCAATTCGATCGGCTTCAATGTTGTGCTTGCGGAGCTGCAAGAAGACGACTGTAGCTTGCAGGATGAGAGCTAGGGCCAGGATGAAGATCGTCAAGTCGGCGACCTGGAAGGCCAGCATGGTCTTGCTGTAGGCGTTGATACCCGGTACTTCTTTCAGGAGTTTGAGACCGAGACTCAGTAACCCCAGCACCATGAGCTCTCGATAGCCTTTCCGAAGCATTTGCTGGTACTTGTCATGGCGAGAGACCTTTTGCTCCACGTGATGGAGCGCAGCCTCAAAGAAAACGAGGCATAAAGCCAAGATGCTCAAGTGAATCAAGACGCGCCAGAATTCAACAGCTTGGCCGACTTGGAAGAGGGAGCCGCTACCCATGTCGCGCAAGTCAAAGTGAACGAGTCGACCCGACTGTGTTTTCCGGTAGAGACGTTTGAGCTACTGAACCACGTGACCAAGCGGTTTTCAGCGAGATTCCGAAGTCTGTCTATCTACAATGGACTGGATTGGGCTCGACGTCCAGTTGATGGCCGGGGGAGGATGGTGGGATAAAGAGCTCCTGCTGTTCATTGGCTTGACAGCCGATCGGTCGATCGATCGGTCGATCGCTACTCCGTTCAACTCCTTTTTCCATGCGAAGAAGAATCGGGTCAACAACGTGCGGTCGCTTCGAAGGGATGGGAACTCGCTTTCCCACCTTGTTACAGCTTGTGAAGAGACGTGGTGTCCTTGAAGAAGCAAGTCGTCAAGTCGGTAGTTGCAATGTTAGAGCTTCGTGGACAGGGCAGTGTCGCTTGTCCCGAGTGGCGAAGGACGTCAAGCACAGAGACGGTCGAAAGGGCCATGAAGTTCAGTGTGTGAACGCTCGAGCGGCGTACGACTGTGTCAAGAAAAGAGGCGTGGCAATGGACGTGCGGCATGGGTATCGACAGTGCGTTCAGAGAGGGCTCCAACCGACAGTTGCAGAGGATGCTGATGATAAGACGACTAGGGAGACAAGTGGACGAGGTGGTCATTGTTGGTGCTAAGACGTGCATGGGTTCGCGTCCACCAGTAGTTCCTAGACGTACGAAAAGGTTCGAAAGTGTATGGGAATGAATGGACTGCTGCAGGTTGTAAAAGACTCGATTGCATCTCGAGGAGAAGGTGGTGCGTGGATGCTGAAGGTCCTTGAGTTCCTTTCGGTAGGACTCAATGCTGCGGGCTGCGTCTGGTTTGATAGTTTAGCTGCTACCACTACGCAGTTGATCGTTATCCTGCTAGACGGGAAGTGAGGAAGGGAGATTGACACTTGTACGGCGGGGACGTCGATAGGAGTTACTCCCTCCTTCGTGTACGTCATGGAGGTCGTTGTTCACCGGGAGAACGATACGGTCAGGTTCGGCGTAAACGAGCCTGTTTCGGCGTGAACGTCGTGTACCACTGGCCTAAAGAACGCACGCGTTGACACCACGATCGACGCTCAGGCCTTTTCTCGTCCATCACCCCTGCCACAAAATGAGTCCGACAGGTCGGACAAGTGGTCTCGTAGCACGAGAAAAAAAAAAAAAAAGAAAGGAGTCGTGAGCACCTTAGGCCCTAGAGCACCTGCTGAACAGCGTCGGTGCCATGAGGTTCGTAGCTTCCATGGCAGCAGCATATCTGTAGTCCACGCTCTCGGCGTTAGTACGCAGGGATGATGTAAATGACGTTCCAACAGGTTGAGGTCGAATGACTCGCCCCGCAATCGACTGCAGCACACACCGTCGCAACTGTGTCTGAAGACCTGCTCTCTACGTCGTTTGCTGGTTTCTTCCATACGAATGGAGAGGAGAAGACGCTTTGATCAGTGAACGACTTCGGACTTTAAAGGCCATGAGTACGACCACACAAGCCTCGTGCAGCTTTTTTCGTGTCGGCATCTCCACATACGTCGTTAATAGCTGTCAGTACGTCCTAGACCAAGAAGCCGTGCCACATCAGATCGAGAGTCTACACGAATGCGAGCAATGGTAGGAGCACCGCGCATCTTGACGGACTCAGGAGCCAAGAGCACGACGCGGCAGATGGCTTCTGACGAGGTTTTCTCTTGTTGGCATACGCCATGACACGAAAATCGGGAGGACGACGGGCGTATCAAGAGTTCCCATCGACGTAGACGCAGCAGAAGACGTTGAGCTCCGTTTAAGCGTGACAACAAATGTCTGAGTACAAGTGTTGAGGCCAGACTAGTGTAGTAGGAACAAAAGAGGAACAGTCTATGCAATGTTTCGGTGCTCTCATGAGCTGACGCTACGTCCGCTGATCCTCGTGCTTCTCGCACAGTCTACGACGGACTGATCAACAGGTTGGTAGTAAACTGCGTGCGGAATGCGTAGCGGCCGACCAAATCCGCCTTTGTTACCCTCCTCTTCAAGTAGTAACCTACTTCAATCACTATTTTAAGATGGACGCGTACGCAACTACACTACGAAGTGTCCGCCCACTACAAGTCTGCGTAACTCGTTTACTAGGCTCAACCTCTAGGATCGTTGCACTTGCGTCCTTGGCGTATTGCAACCACATTGTACGCTGACGTTTTTCGATTCTTCTTCCCACGATAACTACCATACGGCATGAAAAAAATTGAGCAGTTCGGTAGATGACCCGTGTCAGCTGACGGTGAGATGCTGGCGTCGTTTCAAAGGGCGTGGGATGGTCGCCCTGTTTGTCCTGTGCAACGCTTCTCGTGCTTCTTTATTTGTTTCATCCTACTGTCGCTGTCGTTATCGAGTATCTTTCGAGGAAGGGCGGAAGGAAAATGGAGACTGCTCTGCAGTGGCTGGATATCCTTCCTTTCTTCTTCTTCTTTTACTGGTGGTCGCCGTCCGAGGGACAGCGTCGATGATTTACATGCGGTCCGATAGGAGTTCGCTACACCGACCGCTCGTGTCAAGTATCTAAAAAGTGCCAAGAATGGAAAAGAGGTGCAGGACTTGAAGGGAAGCACCGTCCGAACCTATGAATGAAATAAGTCACAAGTCATGACAAATGCCACCGTCTCCCAGTTGAATCAGGATACTGCTGTATTGTGCGATATTGCAATTTTTTTAGTTACACCGTACGTATGTAGGATGTCTGTCATTCACTTTAAAGCGTGACAACGTGCAATCTAATTTTGTCCTGAGGGATGACAGCAACAGTTGTTGTGCTGATTGGCTAACGCCAGTGCACCACCCCAAGCAAATCATATTTTCGAGCAGTCACAATATCACGGGCGGCTGACGCGAATCCCCGAGTCAACCGACGCGCAGGAGTTTCGAAACGATTACATTATCGATGCGTTTCCCTGTTCTAGAAGTAAGGTCCGGTGTCGTGTTGGCCAGCAGCACCACGTCCACACGCTACAACAAAACGATAGTGAACAAAAAAAACAACGACTCCTGTAAGCTCTGCTGCAGACGCTTGAAACTGCGTCGAACACCACGACCTTGCAAACGATTCTATGGAGTCTCGATTGCTGCCTACGAGAGCCTCAGATACTTGCGAACGATTGTTGCGGGAGCTTTGATTACTGCAGGTATCAGCCAAATGAGGGATGGGTCGAATGTCCTAAATTGTCTGCAGCCTAAAGTCTAGCTTCGTTAATCCGACACGTGGCTGCATTAACTCGCAAACAATGACGATCCTCTGCGGGGCGCGCTGTAAATCGGTGTCCATCGAAAAGGTGAGCTCGTGCGATCGTCCTTTTCGTCGAGAAGAGAGTGCGTTGCACCGATTTTCGACTGCCATTTTCACGATTGACGAAGACACGTAGGACCCAAGTTCAAGTAGGTCGTGCGTCGGGCACGACTCTACGACAGTCGCACTTTGTCTTGACTCCAGCGAAATTTACCCAAGCTGAGCATTTCAATGCAAAATTTGATCCCACAGGTTTACTTCAAACTAATATTTTGGTAGCCTAAATCTCAACGTTAAAAAGAGGAACGCCTAGCTTGTCCTTTAACACGTAACCAGAGCTCGCAATTACCAAAGGCGAATTCTAAATTTGGCATGCCGCGGCGCTTTGAGAGATAGCCAGTTAGTTTAATGAGACTGGTCGGAATCAGCTCGCAAGAGTCGTCGTTGGCTACGAGAGTCTCGTCGTGACGACCTGGAAATAGGCCATTCCACCGCATGTCGCACTACTCGCTTCCCGATCTTTTTTCCGTGCGCCCAATCTTTTGTCTCCTGTGCTTCACCCGTTTATCATTTTTCTTCCTTCCTAAGTCCCCACTTTCCATCCTTCATCCGCTCCTTCACTCATTACTCAATTCGACTCGGAGCTCCCCACCGACCGATGAGAACACGTGAACGCCTTGCAAACTGAAGTGAGACGACAGCAAATGGCAGTCAAATTCTCCTTCAAGGCGCTTGCCAAAGTGACTCGAGCGGCCCTCAAGATCTGGCACCGCGTGGCAAAGTACACGACCAAGCCACTGCTCAGTCAAGGCGTGGACGGCGACATGGCAATGGCCCAGGACTCTCGACGGGTCTTTGATACAAGGGCGCAACTCGAAAGGAGGACGCACATTGCGTTTGATGATAAACTCAAGCTCCTCACGCCGGACGAAGCGACCGTGTACCCGCCACCAGCATCCCCGACCAAGGTGGTGGCACTTGCCAATTGGGAGGCCGCACCCACGTTCGTGCTGGATGACCATTTGGGAAATGGCTTCCCCAGAGTGAGTGCCGATCGACTGCTGAACAAGTGTAACCCGTTCCTGTCTGGGAAGCGGAGGGCACGGAGTGACGACGACACGACGTCGGACGCCCAGACGGCATCAACCGACGGCTCGATCGTGCTCGAGAACGGTGTCAAGACCCGTGACGACGGGACGGACGAGGTCGATATAGCTGAGAAGCGGGGGAGTAGCACCCACCAGAAAGTAGCGATGCAAGCAAAAGGTGAGCAGATCTCGGCTCCGTGCTTCGATGCATGTGCAAAGGAGGACGTTGAGGCTGCTAAACCCAGCAAGCGGCCATCTTGCTGGGTCTGTGTTGGCCATGGTCGCTATGTCAAGCGAGGACGTCCGTTTCCACGAAAGCTCTGTCGGTTGAGTCCAGCCAAGAGCAAAGTCTTCGTGGGAAGCGCGATAGGAACAGGTTCAGAATAGGCATAGGCAAAGGAGAAGGACTTGTGTCTCAAAGTACAATACAAGGGGCAATTTTGTGGTAAACTGCTGCTACCGAGCATGACTGATCGGATAAATGGGTTCGTTGAGTCTCTTGTCACTTGTGTTTGTTCAGAATACGCGTTCGTCACTCAGTGGTCCCATTCCACCTTCATTAGTAGATACACTCATTTATTTATTCATGATGTCTGCAGTGCGACGAGGCTCGGGTCTATGTAGTAGTTGCGAACTGTGATCGGCTACCGACCACGCGACCACTTCTCTTGATTGGCGCGTGGTCGGAGGTGGTGACAAGTGGAAAGGCGACACTCACGCCAGGTTTCGTGGAATAGCAGCCGCCGGCTGGTGATCCACGATGCGACAATAGGGAGGGTATGACGACTCGACGTCTGGAATCACGTGGCGTCAGTACTGTATCCATAATGAGCGAGGAGAGAAGAAAAGGAAGAAGAAGAAGAAGAAGAAGAAGAAGAAAAGACTGAGCGATTGCGGTGGAATCGGCGGTGATCAGTCATGATGAAGTATGCAGAAATCACAGCATCGACGGATGATCTCAGTTACATTCGACTGGATGGAATGGAGGTGGTGTCAGATAAAAAAGAACCGATTCAAACTGTGTGGTAACGTCGTCTGGGAGAGCGATATCTTGCCGAGCCTGCGTTTTAATGAGCCACGCTCTGTCGTATAGACCGCGCGGTCTACATTTGCTTTGTTGCAGCTCTTTTGAAAGGTGCTGGTGCATCAAATGTTCATGACTGAGCGTGACGCGAGAAAGGTTTTGTGTCTTCTTTCTTCCGCGCGCGTTCTGATCTAAATCAATCATCTTTCGCCTCTCGCCACGGGCAAGGCTGACGAGAAGCACATTGTCAGTGTAGTCTAGGTGCGTTGGGAAGGCGCAACTGTATAATTCAAACATCGTGAGCAGTTGATAAGATCTCGTGGACTACGAGACTGTTTGGAATGGTGCTTTCAACCTACAAAGCCAATGACAGTGTGCGAACCATTGACATTGATCTCGTGTAGACTCTGCTGTTTATCTTTTAGCACGCAACAAATTGTTTGCCAGGATTGTCGAAGCAGGAGATCAATACTAACATCAGCGTCTTCAGTTGCAGTGCTGTTGGTGTGGTTTTGGAGAGGATGGAAGCTAAAGCACATACCTGAATGACATTCTTGGTCTTGGCACCACCGTCAACCCGCCCCTGGCGTCACGAAAGCTCTCATTGCATCAAGCATTTGACGAAAGCCGATATCTAGTTTTGGTTTTCGTTACATTACGACAAATGTTGCGCCACCATTCCTCCGTACGAACACTACCGCACACTAATCTACATTTGCCATACGAGTATGAAGTGATTTACCGAGCGAACTTCACTTTGCACGCATGGACGACAGAAGCTCTTTGCATTCACAAATGAGTTGACCGACGACCACAACGCACTCGTCACTACGTGTCGGATACATCTGGGTTACTATTTAAATCTTTTAAAAATAGGAAACCCAGGTTTCAGCTGAGAATGGTACAAAAATAGATAAAACGGAAGTTCACGTTTCACCGAACGTAATCGGATACATCCGTCGCTACGAAAATTACCTCTTTAAACAAGAATGTGCGTTACACGGCTATGTGTATTTTTGATTGAGCCGATCCTGGATCTGAGTTAGAAAAAGGCATGCCCGTCAACGAAAAATCGATTGGTAAAATTACTTACCATTGTACGACGAGGTGCCAATTGCTGTGCTATAGTGGTCGTACTGAGAGATTGTGGCGCGATATTTGTTGTACGAACCGTTTTGTGGTTTGGCGTGGGTGTTGGGTATGGGGTGTATTTAGTAAAAAGTGAGGTGAATTTACCCGTTACTTTTACAACGATGCATACTTAATAATCGTACCAGTCTCGAGTAGCTGGACAGCTCCCGTGATATGGGCCCAGAGGAAATATAGTGACGCTTTTGTATGACGGTACTTTATCTCATCATATTAATTTATTCGATCATCAACGAACACTAGATGAGGGCGCTAATGAAGCCAAAATGTGCTTGTTTTGGTCACGTCAACGATTTACAAGTTAGACTAAGTTTGTAATGAGTAGCAAAGTATTTGACGAATACCATGATACGGCTAGTTGACGCTTCTACTTGATATTACGCAGACAAAATGTAATATGGTAACGATGTTTACGGAGATAGTATGTGCATGTACAACGAATCAAAAGTGTCATCTCTTTTTTTTCTTGATATTAATGCCGTTTTCAGACACCGAATGTTCAAACGCGCTCATATCTTCAAATGTTACATTACCATGCTAAGTCAGGTAGAATATGGATCGTAAACTAATTCGAGAGGATATAGGATACTCAGAATTGAAAAAGCAACATATCATTTACGATCAACAGTTCTACGGATCATCCGCACGTTGGTTGTGTTTATTTCTTTTTTATCGTATGAATCACCAAACCAAAGATACTTCGTAAATAAAGTCAGCAGGACAGTATCGTGTACATGCACCGTAGCCGTGACGTGCAATACGGTTCCAAGATGATGTGGTCGAGGCCGGAAGGGTCTGGAAGCAAATATGGCAAATCCCGGTAACGATATGCCAAACGATGCTGTGGACGGACAGCAGCAAAGCGGTCTAACCTTGCGACATCCGTTGATATACGTGGGAGAACAAACAGTTTCTAGGCTATCGGCATCTGTCACCGACGTGCGATCGCGAAGCGAGAGCATCAAAAAGTAGCAACCGCAACTTCGGGTGCCATTGTAACGGGGTTGCACGAAATTATGGTACGTTGTACCAGGGGTGTTACACACCTGAGGTTACTCCTTTGTGAAGATGATATCGAATATCTTATTGGTTTGTAGGGGCTGACGAGTGTCAGCCATTAGGTACGAAAGATTTTTTGAGTAGGATTAAGATATTCTATAGGCTTTAACAAAATAAAATCAGTTCCCATTTTGATCTGAAGGACACGTGGCTTGCGAGCCGTCTTGATCGTTGATCACTGATCACTAAGAGCTAGCGACACCTCCTTGAGGTAGCTACTCTTGAGCACTGAGTGCTGTCGATTCACTGAATCGTTAGGTCCCCCTGGAACAGGGATCTGAAGCTGTAAAGCTTGTTGACTCGTCAAGTCGTTAGTTCTTTAGAGCTAAGTTGCTCGTAGAATGTTAAGTCTTCCTCTGACTTAAAGAGATGTGTAGCTCCGCTACACTTAATAGCACTCGTAGTCAATCTACACCTGAGTCGTTAAGACTGATCCTCTGTGGGGATGGAAAACTCCACTCCCTATCTGAGGCCCAAAAGGTCGCACTTGATAAGCTGACCGCATCTTTGGGTCCAGAGTACGTGGAGTTCCTTGTTTCACAAGGTCCTGAAGGTGCTTAATGCACGTGTTGAAAGCTTCATGCAGTATGAAGCGACCCTTTTAGGGCAGGTCCAAGACCAAATAGCGTCGGCTATGCCTACACGCTGCGTGTCTGTACCAGACGAAGAGGCTAAGCCTCGTCCACTTAGAGTGGAAGTAAAAAACTACTCCGGTAAGGAGGGTGAGAACCTCATCCTGTGGATCCGTGAGATCGAGATGGTCATGAGATCAGGTCTGATCACGCTTGACCATCAACAGGTCTCGCTGGCTATCTCGAAGCTCGATGTTAGAGCTAGAGAATGGGCCTTGACGTGTAGCACGTCGGTGGACATAGCGTTTCCCACATGGGAGTCGCTCAAGTCACAATTGGTACAGGTGTTTTCTCCACCTAACCAGGCTTACCGCGTGCGTTCACGCTTTCTTTCTACCCGCCAGGGTAAAAATGAACTATCGGACTATGTCCAAGAGCTGCGAACGCTCATGGCTGCAATGCAGTCTGACCCTCTGCCTGAAGCAGTCCATGTGACTATCTTCATGGAAGGTCTACGTACTGGCATTGCCATAACCGAGGTTTTTCGGGTTCACCCCTCTACGTTTGAAGAGTCTGTGAGAATTGCTCTTAATGCTGAGCATAACTTCAAGTCGGCCAGACTTGGTTGGAATGGATTCAATCCTCGCTCTGTGAGAGCAAACTATTCGGGTACCACTGCCTACAATAGGCCGGAACCGATGGATCTCAGCTATGCTGAAGATGGAGGTGAAGCTGAGCTTCAAGCTGCTGAGCAGCAACACGTCGTACGACGATGCTTTACGTGCGGAAGCACTAAACACTTGCGGCCTGGTTGCCCTTTGCGTAAGCAACGCCAGGCTACGAGCCAACAATCGACCCCAAGTCAGAAGTCTGGCATGGCACGGGGAAATGCCGACACCCAGTAGGCGGGGGGCGCCCTACTGGGGAAGAACTATGTTCTGTTACACCTTTAGAAGGTAAAGGAATGCAGGGCTTAGCCCCAAAGAGTACCATACCAACAGGTATAATGCGTGGATACAAGTCTGGCTTGTTGGTCGCCGAGGCGAAAATTAAGGGCTTTGAGAAGCCTTGGTCGATATTGATCGATTCTGGAGCGTCTTGCAATTATGCTCGACGCCGTTCCCTTGAGGGAAGTCAGCGTTATGCTGAGGCGCTTACAGCGCATGAGGGTGATTCTATCACGGTTCGTTTAGCGACTGGAAGTCGCGTAACTGTGCCTAAAGTTCCATTGAACTTAGGTATAAAGTTTTTAGACTTTGACAGTATTGAGCGCTGTCTTGTCCTAGATTTGGATTCGAGATATGATCTCATCCTAGGTATGGCTTGGCTTGAACTCCATGAGCCCTGGATTGATTGGAGGTCCAAGACCTTAGGCGCTACGCGCAATGTTCCTGGCGAAGCTTTGGAGAGTCATGAACCCACCTTCGCTAGGCAACAAAAACGCTACTGGCGCGAGCCTTTGACAGAAGATGTCAATGTGCTGGATATTGGAATGTCTGAGTTATCTAACTCCAATGTTACAAACATAAGTTTCGAGCTTAGCTCGTCTAGTGGAACGGCACGTACTCCGTTGAGTGTTCCTCGTTGTGATAACGAGTCACTGCATGCTGAAAGCATGGTTGGCCTAGGGCCGAGTGATCAAGGATGTGATTCCTTTGATGTGTGTATGGTGGCACGTGAAACTACACCGAGTGCGGTCGGCCGTGAGAGCACCGCACTGAATGTCGGTAATGACATTTTTGGCGATACGCCATTTAGTGAGGGTGGCCGTGAAGGCACCACGCTTAACGTCGGTAATGGCGTTGTTGGCGATTCGCTATATAGTGTGGGCGGCCGTGAGGGCACCACACCTAATGTCAATAATGATATTGTTGGCGATACGCCGTATAGTGTGGACGGCCGTGAGGGCACCACGCTTAACGCCGGTAATGGCGTTGTTGGCGATACGCCGTATAGTTTGGGCGGCCGTGAGGGCACCACAACTAAAGTCGGTAATGACCTAATTGGCGAGACGCCGTTAGATTTGGGGCTAGACCCGCATAATACACGTGGAGTGGCACGTTTCAATCCACTGGGTGAAGTGTTCGAGTTATGTAGCACTTCACCGGATGTCGGTCAAGACAAAAGCTCTCATGTTGAGCGTACTATGGTTGGTAGTAACCATGGGGACAATGTTGTCCCGACCCCTAAGGGGTGTACGGTCTCGAAGAGACGATCGAGACGTCGGGTAGCAACTTTTAAGCGCCAGGCGTCCTCACAGTCACATAGTGATAATAGTAATACACTATATACACTTGTTAATGGAGTGACTGGTCAGGTTGATGGCAGTGTTTGCCTGGAAACCCTTCCATCTGTGGACGCTCATTGTAAGCTAGACGAAATGTCTGATGGCGAGTTTAGCCGGGCCTTGAAGGCAGGAGAGTCATCCGAGTTAGCGGTCATTAGACCTGATACTGAGTTGAATTCTTCCTCGTTAATGGATGAGTCTGTCCTAGAGGATACAACGGCGGCACTTAGTGCACGAAGTGGATCTTCAATCCTTAAAGATCCTTTGGATCCGTTCTATCCTTTAGTTAAGGAATTTCAAGATGTGGTGTGTCACAACCCACCTTCTGCCTTACCTCCCGATAGAGGTGTACGTCATGAGAATGACTTGGTTCCTAAAAACTAAATACTGTGTAACACGGCAGTGGCCTTTGCCTAAAGAACAGTGTGACGTCATTGAATAATTCTTTCGTGCTAAGCACGCGGCTGGAATGGTTCGTGAGAGTAAATCTCCCCATTCAACACCGACATTTTGTGTCAAAAAGCCAAATGGCAAGTGGCGTATTGTGCATGCTTATAATAAGCTTAATGCAGCCACTATACCGGCGCAGACGCCTATTCCTAGAAAGGATGTTCTTCAGAACAATATGGCAGGATGTACATTGTACAGTGCACTCGACTTAGTCGATGGTTATTACCAACTGCTCATGCGAGCAAGTGATATTCCGCTAACAGCGGTGAGTACTCCGAGCGGTAGGCTCTGGGAGTGGCTCGTTATGCCACAAGGGCTATCTAACGCCCCGGCTACATTTAACCGGTTGGTAACGCAACTATTCAGACCTTATCGAGGCTATGCACAAACGTACTTTGATGACATTTTTGTCCATAGTCGTGCAATGAATGGGCGATCAGATGTGGATAACCACATCGATCATTTACGAGCGGTGCTCGGGTGTATGCGGAAGAATAAGCTGTATGCGAACGCATCGAAGTGCATCTTTGGTGCAGAAGAGATTCCCTTTCTAGGGTGCTTCATTGGGAAGCGAGGCCTTCGAGCGGATCCCGCTAAGGTAAAAGCCATAGTCGATTGGCCAGTCCCCAAGAACCAAAAGGACTTGCGTAAGTGGCTTGGCCTTGCCAATTACTTACATAAGTATAGTGCATATTACGCAGATATGGCTCGGCCATTGTCCAATCTCCTTAAAAAGGATGTGGATTGGTGTTGGAGTAACACCGAACATGATGCGTTTGAAGCCGTTAAGGAAAGTCTTCTTCATGCGCCAATATTGGCTTTGCCCGATCCTGATCGGCCTTTCAGTGTCGTCTGTGACGCATCTGACTTTGCCATAGGCAGTGCTCTGTTACAAACAGATGTCGATGGACGCGAACGCGTCATCGCATTCGAGTCTCGACAGCTGAAAGCTGCCGAAAAGAACTATCCAGTTCATGACAAAGAGCTACTTGCTATGAAGTACGCTCAAGTCAAATTCAGAGTACATCTGGTTGGCTCAAAGCCGTTTGTGGTCTATACAGATCATGCGTCATTACGCACTGCGACACAGTCGCCTCATCTCTCACAGAGAATGGCTCGTTGGCTTTCCTTCTTTGCCGAATATAACTTCGAGGTGAAGTACAAGCCAGGTAAGCAAAACGCTTTGGCTGATGCGCTATCGCGTCGACCTGACTATGAGCTTGCTCATGTTACGACTCTGTCGTCGTCGGTCACTGACTTAATCCGTGCGGCATATGCCAAGGATGAGCAGTGTGTAGCTTTGCTACGGGCTCTTGGGAGCGATGAGTTTAAAGACTCGGACATAGAATTGTCGGCACGTTTACGTGCGAGGCTACATCGATATTCCATCGATAATGGCCTGTTGTGCTATCGCACGGATATTGAGGACAACCCTCGTATCGTTGTACCTCATGATGAGGAATTAAAGTATCGGATCCTCTATGAGGCACATGATACTGCTTTAAGTGGTCATCTCGGTCGTGAGAAGACTTATAGCTCGGTGAGCCAAAGTTATTGGTGGCCCAAACTTTATAAGTGGGTGCGCACCTGTGTGCGTACGTGCGAAACGTGTCAACGGGTAAAACCCTCGGCACATGCCGCGGCGCCGCTGGCTAGTTTGCCAGTACCCACTGGTTGTTGGGAGTCCATGAGCATGGATTTTGTGTTTGGCCTACCGAAAGATTCGGAAGGCAACTCTGGTATTGTGGTCTTTGTTGACCGATTGAGCAAGATGGCTCACTTAGCGGCTGTGCCGGATAGCATCGATGCTGAAGGTACAGCACAGCTGTTTATCGACCGTGTGTTTCGCCAACATGGCTTGCCTGTGTCAATTATCTCTGATAGAGACCCCCGCTTCACTGGGAAATTTTGGAAGTCTATCTTCAAGGTGATTGGCACTCGGTTGGACATGTCCACAGCGGATCATCCGCAGACCGACGGTCAAACTGAGCGCGTAAACCGCGTCATCAACCACATTTTGCGCAGTATTTGCGCTGATACGCCTAGGCGTTGGAGCTCAACGCTCCCTGTTGTTGAGTTTGCGTTGAATAACGCTGTTCATGCCTCAACAGGCTTTACTCCGTTCTGTCTAAACAATCTCACCCACCCTCGCGTTCCGTTAACGCTATCACTACGTGAATCAGGGCTTGGTGGGGGAGAGGTTGCCGATCGGCTTGCTGATATCAGCCCTGCTACTGTCCAAAAACAGGTAAGCGAGTTTCTCGCAACGCGATTAAATGTCTTAAGACATGTGCGTGACGCAATGGCTGATAGCCAAGATACCCAGAAACAACAAGCTGATGCCAAAGGCAGAAATTGTATTGAACGTTATGAGGTCGGAGACCAAGTACTACTCAATGCTAAAAATCTACCTACAAATGTAGTGTCTGCTGTCTTTAAGACGAAGTTTCGTCCACGCTTTATTGGACCGTTTACGGTCACGGCCAAGAAGGGACTTGCGTATACGCTAAACCTTCCGCGCAAATTGCGCACACATCCAGTGTTCTACGTAGGCTTACTTAAGCCGTATCGGGATCCTTCCCATGTGAACTTGGAGGCGCTTGCGCCGACGACAAGGGCACTGCCCCGGATTGCTGTAGACGAATCAGCAAGTCCTACTAAGCCTCGCTCCGAGTTTGAGCTTGCTCCATCGCCTGAAGGCGGCTTTGCATCGCATCCAGCATGCACTGGGACTTACCCAAGGCCTCTTGAAGACCCTTCACTTTGAGAACCAATTTCTCGTGGGCCTCCACCGGTACACCGGCCGCCACCGACTTTGCTCGATGAGCATGGGTGTCGTCAATTTCATGTCGAGAGACTACTGAAACGACGTCGTCATCAGGGCCAATACCAGTATCTGGTAAAGTGGCGTGGGTACCCTGAGTCTGAAAACTCATGGGAATTTGAGGTACTCCTTCGGCAAGACTGCCCATATGCTTTGGATGCTTTTGAGCATCGTGGCCATGGTCGTCTCGAGGCCGAGGCCGTTCCCCACCGCTAGTGGTGCGGGTTGGCGGGTTGTTGGCCACAGACTGACCAGCACTCGCGGCTACCTTAGTAGCCGAAGCATAGCGCGTGCGCTTGCGCAATTGGCCTCTGGCCTTAAGCTTGGCATAATCATACCGAAGCTTGCGTTCAAGACGCACGTCAGCCACACTGGCACTAGCCCTTAAAGCAAAAATGTTGCTGAGGCGACGCACATAGTGCACCCAGTGAACAAAGGCATCGTCTTCTTCGCTCACTGTTTCGCCTGCGAACAAGAGAATGGGTATACCCTTGATCGGTGGAACCGGTGTACCACGCGCTTGCATGTCAAGGCGTGCCTTGTATTGACTTTGAGTCGTTAGTTGCGGCTCCAGGTACCTCTCGCGAAGTGCCTGGCAGCTTACAACCTACTCAGGAGTCTTAGGCCCATGGCCAATGACCCACGTTGCCAATGTTTGGCCGGCCGCTTGATGTAGACGTTCCTCCACACTGGGTGGGGTGAACACATAGTCACGCTGGCGTTCAAGGGTTGTAGCCATTTGTACATGACGCTGAGCGTTTTCTTCTCTTTGAACAAGCAGTTGTTGTTGCTCATCGAGCGGGTTCGTGATGATAGTCTCATCAGACCCAGACGCTGCATACTGCGCTAGTGGCGCGCTCGCACCTCCACGTTCAGCGAACGGATTTGGGGTGTTCGAAGGTTGTGCCACAGGCATCAGTGAGCCGGACATTGTCCCTGTATCACCGCGGACACTGGTATCGCTACCGTAGTCCACCTCCTCCTCTATCCCGAGGTAGTCACACAGAGCCTTCGACTCGTTTGGTGATGAGGACATCGTGTTGGAGCGTACGTTACCGTGAAGTTCACCGTACGCGCACTGTTCTCGCTGAGAATACAAGTTCGATTGACGTTTTGGCAAACGTCAGTCTGGTGGGGGAGGGTGTAACGGGTTTGCACGAAATTATGGTACGTTGTACCAGGGGTGTTACACACCTGAGGTTACCCCTTTGTGAAGGTGATATCGAATATCTTATTGGTTTGTAGGGGCTGACGAGTGTCAGCCATTAGGTACGAAAGATTTTTTGAGTAGGATTAAGATATTCTATAGGCTTTACCAAATAAAATCAGTTCCCATTTTGATCTGAAGGACACGTGGCTTGCGAGCCGTCTTGATCGTTGATCACTGATCACTAAGAGCTAGCGACACCTCCTTGAGGTAGCCACTCTTGAGCACTGAGTGCTGTCGATTCATTGAATCGTTAGGTCCCCCTGGAACAGGGATCTGAAGCTGTAAAGCTTGTTGACTCGTAAAGTCGTTAGTTCTTTGGAACTAAGTTGCTCGTAGAGCGTTAAGTCTTCCTCTGGCTTAAGGGGCTGTGTAGCTCCGCTACAGCCATGCTTTATGTATGCATTAATTTTCTGGAGCGCGAACCTACACGGTGCCAGTATATACTTGTAACGGGGTAGCCCGTTCCATGA